ATAATGCTTCTACTCTAATAATGCCTTAAGTTACTGACGAAGGTTGTACGAAGAACTTCCTTTTTCTTCATTTCTGCAATAAGCCGTCCAGACGCATATGTAATTCGAGTCCTTTGGTAGAAATGTAGTCTTTTCCAATACCATCGAGGACGGGAATCATTAATTTTGACGAGAAGAAGGATTTCGAATAACTGGAGATCTCAGCATGATAGAGTTTGAGAACGAATTGTATTGTATCGGAAGACGGAGAGAGATCGGAGTAGAATATCTTTTTTTCTTTGAAAAATATTCCACAGAGAATAACGATCTGCAATAAAATTATATCACTGCACTCCATATAGGTTTATATGACTATCATTTCCTCTAACGCATGACTAAAGTTGGCCAACCTTTTTCCCATTAGCCAGTTTTAGTAGTAAATTCGGGTTCATAAAAGTGAGCCACAAATTATAGGAAGCATATTACTCGCTCTGATTGTAACTACCTAGTAGGGTGTAATTATATGGGCGGATCTTATGATGATTAACTTAACCCCTTGTGTTACAGTTCTGAACATTTGATACCGTCACATATGTTACATGTACGATGCAGTTTCTATTCACACGTACAGTCGCACCTCGCTATGTCGTTAGCGCGTTCGAGGAGCTCAGTCCGTACGAGATAGCAAATATACGAGACAGCAAATAATAATTCCCAAGCTGACAGGGGTATGGAATCAAAAAATCTTCATTTTTGGATGGAATTTCATGCTGAATCTATCTAAATAACTGGAATTCGAACAGGTACCAAATTAGAGATAGATACAAGTATCAGTTGTTAAAATATCCTGAAATTCATATAAAGGTTATTGAGAGGTTTAACTCCTATAAATGAGAGATGGAGCGATCCTCTGAGCCTACTCTGAGCCCATGTACAGAGCAGTGCAGAATCCTCCTTAAGCTCACTTCTCTATTAGAATAGCTGCTCCCTCAACCCCCGCTATAACTGCTTCCAAGACCTAAAAATCCGAGATAGCAAATACTATTTGTATGGAGACAGGGGATATCTGTTCTCAATTTTCCGTACGATCCGAAAAGTGCCAAAATACGAGATAGCAAATAGGTTTTGGTGTGGAAAACAAGTAGCAGGCCAATTCGTACGAGACAGCAAGAGATCCGGGACATCGAGATACGACATAGCGAGGTGCGACTGTACTTAGTCGTGATCTGCGAAAAGAAATTGCTATGTACTCACATCGCACCCATGATCGAAACCTCCCGCGAGCTCTTCCAGGTTAATAATCCCCCAGCCAATTCATTATCGCGGCAGAATCCTGACATCCGTGGTCACCATCCGAGACGCTGTCTGTGCCTTTGTACCCTGGCGGAGGCACAGCATTCTAACCCGGTGTTGTATCCATAGGGCTAGATGATGTGAACTACTAATGTGCATGGCAGCTAGAAATGCATGCCAAGACATATATATTATCACTCGGTCAGCTCTCAAAAGTTCACCGAGGGAGATTCAAGGCCTTATTTATGGGTCAAGGATTTATAGAGCTGGGTTGAACTGAACGACACCACAGGTCGGGGGGGAAGAAGGAAAGGGGGGGGGGGGGTGCGTGGCCGAGGAATGTGCTGAGTGGTTGCATGCATTCTACTACAGTTCCGGCTCGTAGTGAACACAGTGTGTTAAGTGGCCAGTGCAAACTATAGGTGAGGTTCAGGGGTTATCCACCCACGTATGTAGCTTATAGGGTTAGGTTTTTATTAGCTCAGCAAGTTCTAATTCATCAACACCTCCCTCAACCACACAAACACGTTCTTCTCCTAGTATCTTACCAAATATCGTCGCTCGTTGGGTATCACCGTGAATACTCTAGAGATAGATCATGGTTCAGTATATACTTAAATTGGAGATTAAGTGAGGTCCAGCCAGGATGGCTATTGGTTTCGAAACTCGTGGTGGGTGAGCCGAAAAAGATTGTGTCTTCGTTATAACACCATCGATAAGTGCCTTTTTAATTCTCACGGTATATCATCATAAAAGCTAATATCATGCATTGCTACTGTCTCATGATCACAATTGTATCTGGTAGAAATCACTAGAGAAAGACCCATAAGCCAAAAAACAACATGGATTCAACGAATACTACCACGATAGAAGTCTATTGCCGCAGGATTGAAATAACATCATATGTGGCTAAAAGAAACTCTGGAGAAATAACTTGTTTACTTTTTGAGCCTTGTCTCAGACTGTTGTGTTTTTGGAACTTGAGCGAGAACAAGTTCATTATCATCAACAATCACTCGACAATGTCAGTACAACTAATTTCTAATACCCTACCGCATGTCCATCACCTCTCAAATCACTCCCCGCACTCAATATCCTTTTACCATCAGGGCAATGTTTTACCCTTATAACCTGACCTCTCCCGAACACACCTCTGCTCCATCCTGTCACCACAACCACATTGTGCCCCAGGTTCCTCAATTTCTCCACTGTCTCCTCACTAATCCCCTCCTCAATCTGTACCAGTGGATGACTTGGATCATATCCACCACCCACACAGATTCTGGGCGCATCCAAAGCCTGCTGCACCGACATACCCCACACACACGTATTGAGAAACACCTGCACGTGTCCTTGGGGCTGCATGTACCCGCCCATGACACCAAACGCTGTGTGGAGCTCTCCCGTCTTCGCATCCGTTATCAGCGCTGGTATAATGGTGTGGTAAGGCCTCTTTGATGGTGCAAGCACATTGGGATGGTCTGCAGAGAGAGAGAAGCCGGACCCGCGGTTCTGGAGAGTGAACCCGCAGCCTTTTGGAATCATGGCACTACCAAAGCCGGCATAGTTGGAATTGATGAAAGAAGCCGCGTTACCTTGCGCGTCAACGACGGTGAAGTATACTGTGTCACTAGAGCGGAGTGCAGGGGAACCATGGGCCGGTGTTTTTGTGGCGACACAGGGATCGAAGAGTTTTGAGCGGGCGGCTAGGTACTCCTACGCCAATTAGTAGCTGCGAGTGAGGGGCTGTGATGGGGTGATTACCTTATCCAGGAGGCCTTTTGTGGGGACTTTACTGTGCGCAGGGTCGGCGATAAACCAGTGACCGTCTGCAAAGGCGATTTTCAAACTCTCTATTATCGTATGAAGATACCTATCAGTCTGTTAGTACGCACCTTCTGCCATTAACCACCCATGATAAAGTACTAACTCTGCAGAATTATGCGCATGGCTGCCCTCTTTCCCAATATCCGGGACCACACCTCTCTCCTGCAGGCTTTCTAGGATTCCCAACGCCATAAGGGCCACAATCCCTTGTCCATTCGGCGCATGCTCCCATAACTTCAACCCTGTCCTTTCATACACCAACCCCACCGCCTCCGTCTCCTCGCTCCCTACCTCGCCCATTTTCTTCAGATCCTCCAGTTCCATTACTCCTCCCCGGGACTTGAGCACCTCAACCAGCGCCTCTGCAACCCAACCCTCATAGAAACCCTTCCTCCCCTTTTCTCCCAGCTCACGATAAACCTTCGCCAGGTTTGACAACCTGATGACCTCTCCCTCCCTCGGCGCCCGCCCATCAATCAGCATCTCCCCTGAATTTGGAGACGCACCAACCAACCGCTCAACTCCGAGCGCCCAGTTCGCCGCTGTTACCTCACTTACAGGATAGCCGTCCTCTGCAAGTCGTATTGCATCCGCCAGCACCTCGCTCAGCGTAAATTTCCCAGACCCAAATCGCTCCACGGTATCGCACCAAGCTGAAGCCGCACCAGGGACTGTGACCGAGTGTACGTGCGTCATTGGAATACGGTCCTGTGATCGCTCAGCAGCGGGGATGTCGGCGAGGGCTCTCTCGAGGGTCAATGCTGTCGGAGAGCGCCCGGAGGCGTTGAGCCCGTGAATCTTTTTAGTGCTAGCGTTGTAGAAGAGACAAAAGGCATCGCCACCGATACCGGTGGATGTGGGCTCGGTTACATTGAGGCAGGAAGCTGCGTGTGTTAGCTGGAGAGCTGGAGAGGGGACTGGTGATTTGAGGATGCAGGCTACGACCGCCCAGATCCTCCGACCGCCAGTATGCCATTATCACTACAGAGACATAACTAACCTACAGCGATAACAGCATCAGCGGCATTGCCGCCCGCCTGAAGAATCCTCAGACCAGCCTGCGCCGCGAGAGGCTGTGTGCACGAGACAATGCCATTGGTACTGTGTATGACAGAGCGCCGTGAGGGGTAGGGCGCAAAGGCGCGGTCGTGGAGGCCTTTGTCTGATATGTCCGGGATGTGGTTATCCATTACGTTCGGAGTGATCTTTGGAATAGACGAAGTTGTATCTCACGGAGGAGCACCTATCCTATCTATAATGTGTTGTGGGGGGGGGGGGGGGGGGATGCGGCAGTGCTAATATATATGCAGGTTGATCAATGGCGGGGGCGGGGATATCCGAGAACGCAGATTCCAGATCGGCAATAGTTTGGGCTTCTCCCTGACTCTACCCGCGGTTTCCACCGATCTCCTTTTTACCGAGGCATGATAACCTGTTTTGAGTATCATTGCGGGGGAAATCCTCTACTAGTACGGAGTCTCCTGCTCTCTCTCTATCCATTGGGTAATGGTAACTGTTTGGGATCAATACTTGGGGAACCGGAGGAGGGAGCGAAGAATGCCTAATTCCGCCCGTTCCCCGGAGGAGCGAGTGATGGCATATGTTTGCATGCTCTACTGGAAATGATCTGGGGGTAGGAAATTTTTGCGCGCCTAGATATCTAGCCTAGCTAGCCTGGGTTGATTTGGTTGGCGGCGACGCGGCGGGATTTTTATTTAACCCCCCACACTCCAAGACTACTAATAAGTGCTAATACTAATACTAGTACAGTGCCAATGCTAACACTAGGCCCCGACTAATAAGTAAACAATTCCAACACACCCGCAGTAATAATAATAAGAAGGAGGAGAAGGTATCATTAAATTGCCGTTAAAAAATCATTACCATATCTATAGTGATACTTAATGATGCCCTCTCTGCCTCCCCCCCGCCTCAAGCCCTGCCTCTAACCTCCTAAACACCATCTCCCCCACCGCCAGCCCAACAACAACTGCAAAGAAGTAAACCTACCACACATCAGCCCCACTCACTCTCAAAACAAAAAAGCAAGCACAAAAACATATAAAAGGGACATACCACAACAAAACTCATAACAACCAACATAAGCCCATACCCCACAACCGCCGTTAGCAGCTCCAGCGCGCCACGGCCTCCATCACGAGTAATGGAGAATGGCTGCGCATACGTATACCCATGCTCCTTGCGGGAAGCGGCCCAGACGGTGGCCTCGAGACGCGTCTTGAGGAAGGTGAGCCCGCGGTAGAGGATGGCCGTGCTGAAGATGAGGAGCCAGATGCCGAAGAGGGAGGCGGGCGTGGTGGGGAGGAGGTGCGGGAAGAGGAGGGGGGCGGTGGGGAAGGTTGTGGTGAAGGTGGTCATGGACATGGAAGACATGGACGACATGGAGGTTGAGGTAGCCATGGACATTGTGGTTGAGGTTGAGGTGGCCATGTTCATGGCGGTGGTAGTGGCTGTGGTCACGGCCATTGACATTGACATTGACATGTCCATATCCATTTTAGAAAGTGAAGTGAGGTGGTGAGGTGGTGAGGTAAGTGGGATGAAGAGATACAATGGTGGATGCAAATAGAAGTAGGTATGTATTGTGGTGATATCTTTCTATGTGTCTCCCACAGATACGCAAATTGCCCTGTCTTTTAGAGATACGATAAAGACGACGGTGGTACTATGTCGGTATTATGTACACCCACCAGCTAACTACAACTTCTAAAAGGCCTCTGCATACAAATATCTGCTCACACACCTGAAACCATCCCTTAAAACCCTCTTTCAACTCTCTCGATTCTAAACACTTACTTACTTACGCACCACCCTACAAAGAGAGAAGGAAAAAAAACTAGCTCAAATAACCTCAGACAAGGGTTTATTCCAGAAGCGGGTTAGTAGTAACTTAGTAACCTGCTCAATTATCTACCTTAGTTGCATCTCCTCCAATCAAGAGGGGCGGATAGTCGGCATAGGAGAGGAATCCTTCTCGTTGCACACGCGTGCAATTGTGTAAGCTTTGTAGTAGTAGTTAGTTAGTTGGTAGTTAGTAACTAGATACTGTGCTTGATAGAGTCGTCTAAAATGAAATTCAAGCATTTCGTAACGAACCAACCCGGGAAATCGGCACTGTGTTTGATATGTGTAGTAGTTGAGTAGATTAGTTATTATTGAGACCTGTCGTCTGTAGGTACTGAGGAGGTAGTGAGAGGGGATATATATATCACAGCCTCTTGGCTCCCGATATCAATCCCCAATACTCTCAATCTCAATATCTACGCACTGGTTCCCAAGACTTCGATATGAAGTCCACACTTTCCCGCCGAATGGACATGACAAATACCTCTTCGGCCGCCATTGAAGCCGCCCAAATCCTCGATCCATGGACCGGCCAATGGAAATATCCACGCGCCCTCATCATCTTCCTATGTGCAATCATAGCCGTTTTTACGCTTCTACACATATGCCAATTCCTCCGCGACCGCCGTCGTCTCTCTTCGAAATCTAGGAAAGCTACGCCTTCCCTCTATGACCGCACTGCCGCCGTTCTACGTAGTCTGATATATAGGCGTCCGTTACACAGTGCTCCAGCACTCGGCCCGGTGATACTCATTGTATCTCTTCTGGTATTTACATTGGTGTGGACGTTCACTGTACAGCCTTACTACCGCCCATTACGATCTGGGGGCTCGCCGCCGCTGTCGTTGCGGTCGGGATTGTTTGCGGTGGGGTTGACGCCAATTGTATATTTGTTGGCCTTTAAGGCTAACATTGTAACGTATCTCACGGGTGTGTCGCATGAGAAGTTAAATGTGCTGCATAGATGGGGAGCAAGGTTGATTCTGTTCCTGGGCGTTGTGCATACAATCCCATTCCTCGTGCAGCCACTGCGGGAGGGCGGTCATGCGGAGCTAAAGAGAGTATGGGCAGAGGATAACATGAATGTAACGGGATGTGTGGCATTGGCGGCGTTGGTGGTGTTGGTGGGAGGTAGTTGCGTTCCATTAAGGTATGTATTTTGAGTATACTTCTGGGGTTGTTAGTAGCAAGTGTACTGATAGTAAACTGTGCAGAAAATACTTCTATGAGCTGTTTGTGGGCACGCATATACTCTCGGCGGTCCTCTATCTGGCGTTCATGTTCTGGCACTGTGAGGATCTTCTCACGTCATGGACATATCTGTGGACCACCGCTGCTCTCTGGCTCGCGAGTGTGCTCCTCCGGTTCATGAATACCACTTTTAATGCCGCGCTTCCATGCACGCTCCGGCTCCTCCCCGGCGACGCCGTCATGGTCACGATACCGACTACGCATATATGGACGCCCGCACAGCACGTATTCCTACGTTTCCCGGATCTATCGGTCTTTGATAACCACCCGTTCTCTGTGTGCAGTGTTTCCGAAAACAGTGATGAGCTAAACACACTGGTAGTGGTTGTGAAGCCGCGCTCGGGATTTACGCGGCGGCTGTTTCTGGCTGCGGCGGAGGACGGGCCGGAGGCGGCAATGCGAGTGGTGGTTGACGGGCCGTATGGTGGTGTTCCGAGGGCCGTAGAATCGTTTCAAGGGGTGGTGTTGGTCGCAGGGGGGAGTGGGGTCACAGCGGTAGTGGGAGTGTTGTCGTGGCTGGTGAGGTGTATGAGAAGGGGAGAGGGGTGCGTTGAGAAGATAAAGCTGGTGTGGGCGGTGAAGGATCGGCGGACATTGGAGTGGTTTGGGGGTGAAGTTGCGGAGGCGGTTGCGATGGCGGGAATTGAGTGTCGTTTTTTTGTTACCGGGGACGAGGGGGAGAGTGAGAAAATGGAAGCAGTGGATGGAGTGGAGATTGCAAAGGGAAGGCCGGATTGTGGACGAATGCTGGAGGAATGGGTTGGAGGGATGGGTGAGAGGGTTTGCGTAGTTGGTATGACACTCTGCTCTATCTCGAGATTAAAGAACTATGCTAATAGGTTAATTGTTTTGGTGTAGCTTCGGGGCCTCGAGGGTTGAGGAGCGATGTTGCGAACAGTGTTGCCGGGCTGCAGAGGAAGGTCAATGATCGTGAGAGCGGGTTGCAGGAGCTGTATCTGCATACGGAGGCCTTTGATTGGTAGATTAGCTTATGTCTGTTCTTTATTTAGCATTATTATGATGAGATGACCTGATTTAATATGAATTTTATCTAAAAACTGATGGTTAAGAAGAGAGATTAGAAAAAGAAGGAGCAAGTGTATGTCTGGATGATACTTCGATCGAGGGCCGGGGATTCGCCAAGATGCCAGGTGAGCAGGTCTAGAAGTAGTTTATGTCTCCTCCTAACCATCAGCAATCCGCAGTATTGTTGTATTAGATCCTTCTCTCCAGCATGGTGGATAGATGGACCGGCGAGAAGTGTTGTGTTGTGATGGACGCAATCCAGCTAGCTGCTCAACTGGAAATTCTTGCGACCAACGACAAGTATTCTCTTGATAGAATCAAAGTTCACATGTACGTATACGCTCGCGCTGCTGCCACAAATCCTTGCCGTTAGTGGAAATGCCTATGTGTCACGATTTTCTTCTACTTGTGCCAAGTCATTGTGGTCAATTGACTACATTGTTGTCAACGTTTCATCATGTAGTTTCTCTAAACTATAGATATAAAGAGGGGCCTTCTCTCCGTATTTCTGTGTTTTTATCGTCAGTTCTTATACACAACAGACTCCGCTCATGGGTTCTTTACTGCTTTAAAGTATTGATTATGGTTAGTCATTGTGGTGGTGGTGGGTTTTGTTAATGATTACATTGTTAAACGTTTAACGTTTCATTGTGTAGTTTGGACGTGGTTCCAAACTACCTTTGTATCAGAGGTAATTTAATTTGGCCTCTAAACTGTAAATATAAAGAGAGAGTTTCCACTCTCCCACCTTGTTTTCTGCCCATCAGTTCATATAATACATTTTCTACGTTCTCTGTTCTTGACTTTGCTTCACAAAGATCATCTCTGAAAACATAAAGATCACCTCAACAAATATTCTATGTATTGACGGAGCATTCAGATGCTTCCTTATCACAACTCCAATACATCTTAACTCTACTGGGCTTTCTTCTCTTCTAGTTTTATCGTTAGCCAAGGATATAAGCAGTCAGCCGATGAAGTAGTTACGCAGGTATTCATACACAATCACTCGGTCAAAGTAACACATTGCAGTAAATATCAACACGTTTAGTCATGAACTGAGTGTGGCTCCCGCTCCAGGCTCGACATCACATGAAAGAGCGCACACACCGCATAACACCCTCTCGTCCACAACGGCAAAAACGCAACTCCAGCCTTCTAGCCCCCGTTTGCCCCGCAAAGTAAGATTTCTGTCCTCCCACCCTCGCATCATCTCCCCACAACGACCCTTCCAACCATCTAGTAAGTCTACGCATCCACGGTACACGGAGCCATGTACAAACATATACTCACTCAGGTCAGCGTCCATCAATGTCTCAGTCCTGTCTCGGTCCCACGCATCACATCACATCTCATCACTCGGAAACCTAACAAAGCGTGGCGCCGGTGACTCCCGAGACATCTTTTAATTCTTCAGCTTACCCGTAGACCAGGATGATGCAGGCACAACACGATCTGTACAACCCCGCCCCCCGTCATGTCAGCTTCAGCCCTAAGGCCTTCGGGAGTGATTACTCAACACGATACCGCGTACCGGCGTGGGGGGAATGACTGAAACATATGACATTGTGAGTGTCCACTATCCAGCCAAGGTTGGGTGCATGCAGCCTTATGAGTCGGTCCCAGCTAAAAATTGCAACGGGACGGAGAAGCACTTATTTCTCGCAAAGGACAACCTGGTCAATACGGGTGCTGCTAGCCGAAGGGCAAGACGGCATCTCCGTTCTGTGAGAAAACTTCGGCGTGCATGATTTGAAGGTTTGTTAATTTGTGCTTTTGAAGGCAGTGGTTGGGTGGAAGGAAGGAAGCGTTGGTTCCGGCGACGTCTGATTTCAGGTCCTATTGGCGATGTTAGTTGTTTGGGAGGCGACCTGGAAGCTGCTACGCGGCCGCCGCCGCTCAGTTAAGAGGTGTTAGTTACATCACTACGTACGTTGGTGTCTCGAAACTCAAGTAAGGGCTGTGAATGCTGAATGTAGGGTGGGTGTGTGGGTGTAACTGAACGGATCTGCACCTAGAGTAGGCAGCGGTCGAGGGGCAAATATAAATATCTTTCCGGATCGATAACCTAACCTTTAGGGTCAGGACACCAGCCACATAGTTATGGACAAGTTCTAAAATACATTTAGGACTAAAAAGTCTGGTTTTAGGAAAAAACGAAAACCGGGCGGCCAAGCCTGCTGCAGGTGGCCCATGCCAAGACTTACTACTTTTTACCCTTTCGGATGGGATTTTGCTACGAAGTAAATTTCGGAGCAGAAGGATCTAGTAGTTCCCTGGAGGGTTCAAATTCACCGAGTGCTGGTTCAAATTATCACGTTGAAGGGTTACTTCAAGCACAAATGACTTTAAATAGCATAGTCATAAACCATGGTAAACCTTGGTAAACCTTGATATTCTCTGAATCTTCCTCATCTGTCACAACTTCATGCCTGAACGCCAGACTGCTGCATCTAAAGCTTGCTGTCTATCCTTAAATCTGGAGATGATGGTGCGCAGAGCAAGAATCAAGTGGTCCAGAAAATCCCTACAATTAATCACAGAATCTCACTCGACAATCAAGCCTTCTTGGCAAGCACTGACTACTAGCGCTTTGGCGTACTCAGCTGAACGCCTACCGAGCCCGCCTTTGTCATGGGAGATAGTAGGGCGAGTGCTTGGCACAATATGATGGTTAGCTCATCATTAGCTCAATATGGAACTTTGAACGTCCTCTGCGCGGGGTGCGCTGGGAGAGGAGTTGCGCTCCCGTAAGGTCTACAATCACAATTTGCAAAAAGAGTTATGTCGCTGTTACCTAGGAACATTCAGGCCTAGGGATTAAAATGTTTTCGGAGATCTAGATATTCGCCACGGTGCGTGTTAGTACCGTTTAAATGGCACCCCGATTTCCCTCTAGATAAGACAAGCAAGTTCTTCGGGGGTGCTAACTGTTCACGTGCGTCCAGGCTCAGATATAAGGGCAGAGAATTGGAGGTCGCCGGCGGTCACCGCCATCACCTCTTCCATCACTATGTCGTACTAACTACAAACAAAACCATTGGGGAAAGCTCCTCGGTATCAAGAAAAACTAACTGCTTGAACATCACAGAAGACACATATGTCGATACTACCTGCTAACTAATTATAACTCAAAATAAAACCCCCTCCATACCCCGTCTCCCCTCTTCTTCGGCTTTCACTCCTTCTTGTTTTTATATCTCGCTGTCAGTCATTACATTCCCCCAACAGACGTACGAGATCCCTTTTCCAAGCACCACATCTCACTATGCATTTCCTCCTCCTCCCCGCCATCCTCCTCATCCCCACCGCTCTCGCCCAGCCAGCGATCCCCTACCCCCTCCCCTGGCAAGAGGTCCAAGCCCCTCCCCCCCAACAACAACCTGCCGAGCCCCCCTCCACATACGAAGTCCTCCTCCCCATCGTCCACGAGAGGCTCCAGAAGCCAAAAGGATGGGCCACCAACGACCCCGCCGCCGAGGGCGAAATCGACGTGAGCGACGAGGACCTCGAGTTCCTGACCCCGAAATCAAACGTCAAGTTCAGCCAGGACGACAGCATCAGGCAATGGTTCTCCCCGCTCGGCGGCAACTTTAAGAAATTCATGGACTCCATGAAGACCAGGAACGAGGAGGCCCGCGCGGAGCAGGAAGCAGCAGAAACAGAAGCCGAGGAAGAAGAAGCTCAGAACCTGCAAAGGCGTGCAATCCCAAGCATGTTCAACAAGGGCAAAAAGACGCAGCCCGAGCCCGCGCCGGATCAGGAGCCGGAGCCAGAGCCAGAGCAAGAGCCAACCCCGGAACAGCAAGAGGCAGAGGAGGAGCTTGACAATCTCGAGCTCAACGAGGTCGAGATCACAAACGAGGAGTTCGACCAGCTGTTCAAGGACTACGCATCGCGGTACGAGCGAGCCCAGACCTTCCAGGGCCTCCAGGGCCACCTCGACACCATCCTTCTGCCGGGCAACGTCGCCTACAGCTCCGAGAACAAGCCGTGGAAGCAGGGGCGGCCCGGGCGGCTAGCGAGAAGGAATGGCGGCAGCGCCGTGGGGGGCGGATCATCGGGTACCACCCCCAGCTATCTGTGGACCCCCGAGTCGGAGAAGATTGGCGTGAGGCCCGTGAGCTCGATTAACCCGGAGATCTTCAATCGCATTGCGGCCGAGTATAGGTTCGGACAGGACCCGACCAGCATCAACCATGAGGAGAGCATCGTCAAGGGTACTGCCGCTGCGGGGAAGGGACAGCAGGCCACAGCGGGGAAGAGCGCCGGGAAGGGAAAGAAGGTTCGTGTGTAAGTCGCTGATATTTCTGCTCTTTGGTGCGTTTGTGTTTTGGGGGAGGGAGAGGATTGTGGCGGTGGGATGTCTGGTTTGGTGCTTTTTTTATGTTGTGGTTGTGGTCGCGGGGAGATAGAAAAAAAAAAGTCGGAGAGATGTAACATATAGAATGCAATGATTTTTTTGGATATAACGATGTTATTGGGGGAAGATTGGCTCTGCTACGCACACTCCCACTCTCACGCGTAGGCTGGTATCATTGCATGTAAATCCCCTCTGGCAGGGTAGGCCCTTTGCCGGTAGCCAACATGTTCGGTCGTCTTCGCGAGTCTTCTACGAAAGGGAGTTACATTCAAAGCCCTAGCCCACTTGGAGAAAAAGCAGTATCACCGGCCCAACCTTCTCAATAAGCACGGTAGATCCAGCCCGCAACCCAAAACATCCACCTCAAACCACCTGCACTTTTCCGAGTGATACCCCATGATCGATTAGCTAGCTACCCCCCTATAAACACCCCGCGGGAAAAGAAACAAAAAAACAAGTCCCAAGTCCCAAGCCCTACAAAAACAAAAAACAAAACACTAAGCCTCTTCCATCTCATCCATCAGCCTCCTCGCCTCCTCCGGCAGCCTCATGAAGCCCTCCCGCGTGCCCACGATCCGCTCAAACAGCCCCCGCGCCTCCTCCACGACCTCGTCATCGAACACGACGCCCTGCTGCTCCGGGTCTAGATACACCACCCCCTGCGCAGCTGCATCCGCCTCCGCATCCGCATCCGCATTCAGGCGAGTCTTCGGCGCACGGGCGGTGTAGAACAGCGACAGCGCAACGCCCGGCGGCGGCGGCGGCGGCGCCTCCTGGCTCTGCTGCAGCAGCAGCCGCGACACGGCGCTCTTGATGGCGCCGTGGCCGAGAGCGGTGACGGCGTAGAGCAGCGCTATAGAGAGGCACGCGAAAAAAAAAAAACGTTAGCGAGAACAACAGCCATGCAGATATAGATGGGTTTAAGGATTTAAGGGAGGCGCACTGTGTCCGCGCGGGCACTCGCCCGTCGCCCACGAGCGCGCAAGGATGTACACGGGCACGCCGCCCTCCGCCGCCACGGGCACCATGAGCAGTGCGGCGGCGGGCGTGATGGCCTCGTCGGGGTACTTTTTCGCGAACAGTGCGGGGAGCTCGCCGGCGAGGACGTAGGCTGCTCTTGACAGCGCTGCTGGCTGTTCTCCGGTGTCGGCGGTTGTGGTTGTGGTTGTGGTTGTGGTTGTGGTGGTGGTGTCGGTGGGTTGCGGGGAAGGGAGGTCCGAGGCGCTGCCAATGATCCAGTCCACGCCAATCTCCTCGCCGTTATCGAGCGCCACTTTATGCGTCCGTTGTTTCCCGGCTCCTTCCTGCTCCTGCTCCTGCTCCTGCTCCGCGGGTTTGGTAGTGGTGGTGGTTGAGACCGACCTGACGCCGCGGCCAAGGACGTTTACGCCGCCCGCGACGGCGGCGGCGCGCGCGAGGACCTGGCAGAGCTCCGCGGAGCCGCCGTAGGCGATTGTGAGTGCGGCGGCGGAGCGGACGTCGGGGATGTTGCCGAGGGAGCGGAAGTGGCGGGCGAGGGCTGGGAGCGCGAGGGAGAGGGGGGTGGCGGTGGGCGGGGTGGGGAGGAGCGAGAGGGAGGAGAGGGAGGTGGTGGCCGAGGGGGGGAGGGGGAAGAGGGTTGTGAGGAGGGCGTGGAGGGGCTTGGTTCTGTATTCTGCGGGTGGGGGTTAGCAGGGGGTGGAGTAAAAGGGGGGGAGGGAGGGAGCGTACCTGTGAAGATGTCGCGGTACTTCTGGTCGGCGGGGTCGGGCGAGTCGTGCTTCATGACGAAGCGGAGGAACTCGCCGAGGTAGCCGCGGTCCCGGTCTGAGAGGTCCTTACTCCAGGCCACGTCCTCAAACGTGCAGGCAACCTCCCTGAACCCTCCCATATTCCTCAGCTTCGTCGCGCCCTCTTCCTGCGGCGGCGGAGCAGCTACAGCTCCCTCGGCCGCTGCGCCCTCACCCGCAGTCTCCTCCTCCTCCGCAGCCTTCTTCCTGCCCTTGTTCCACTTCTTCTTCCCCGCCGCCACTGCCTTCGCAGCCTTGACGCCCGCATCCATCAACAACGCGCCCCCGCCGCTGCCGCTGCCGCCCGCAGCAGGGACAGCCACCTCCTCGTCCGTCAACCACACCCACCAGCTCCCCACGGCCTGCCACGAGAACGAGTCCGCCATGTCCGCGCCCCGCAGCAGCCGCAGCAGCTCGCTGTCCCAGTACACCAAGTCCGGCGCCAGCGACACCGTGAACCCCCGCCCGAGCTCGCCATCGCAGGTGAGCTCGGCGTGGGAGAAGCCGGCTTCGAGGCCGTCGTTGACGCGGGCGGCCCAGGACGCGAGCTCGGAGTGGGAGTAGAAGGCCGTGCTGGTGCCGCCGTAGTAGGCGTTCTTGTCGATCTGGAGGACGGTCTTTCCAGCGCGGCCTAGTGCTCTGGGGGGGTTTGTCAGCTAGTTGGATTGTGGTTTGGGGGGGGGGGGGGAGGCAGGGGAGGCAGGCGTACACGGCTAGAAGAGATTGCTTTATTCCGCTGCCGGTGATCAGGATGTCCCAGTCAGCGGAGGGGAGAGGCGGGTTATCGGTGAACGACATCGTGGGATTTGATGGGGGGGGATTTGATCCGGGGGGGGGGGGGGTTATGAAAGTGCAAGATGGTGGTGGCGTGACGGGGTTGTGTGCCCGCAGCTTCAGAGTGGGGTGTCACGTGGCGATAGGGTGTCTTGGCGGATAAGCCATGTTGTCACGCTGAATGTATGATAGGACAGAGATCGACAGAGGAAGAGTGATGACAGGAAGAGCGATGACAGAGGAAGAGCGATGACAGAGGAAGAGCCCTCTACTGCGAAGATACACCAGCCAGTCTAGTACATCTGTTCTACTTGCATCTACCTACAGTTCCGAGTGTTCTCTCCAGCTACGAATTATACCGTGCTGCCAACTACAAGTACTCCTAGATCATAACCCTTATCGGCAGACTCGCAATCTAACGTCGCGCGACGTCGACGATCACCGGATCCGGATGGCCGGGCGGAAGAGAAGCGGATCCGGAGGAGGGTTAGAAATACACGTACATGTAGGCTTGGGCCATATTGGGGTGGGGGCGGGGTGATTACTCGGGGCCCTGGCTGACACCCGTTGGGGGGGTCATGGGCCATCACTCGCAGGGGTGAATACGAGCCTGATGAGACAGCCAACGTTGGGGGACAACCATGGCTGCCGACAATCCCTCGCGGTGCCCAGAGTCCATACGGGCGATCGAAGCCGTGAATGTGTCTGTGTCTGTGTCTGTGTCTGTGGCTGTGGCTGTGGCTGTGGCTACAGGTAACACGGCGCAGCCTTGTTCGTATAACCCGCAGAGCCACTCCCGGAACGGGGATATACGCGTAATCTAGCTCCTCCGTGACCATGCCCGCGGATTCGCAGCTTCTGCCTAAACCTCTTGCCTTGCCCCAGGCCTGCGAGGGGGTTTCGCAGAAAGGGAGGATGGATCCATCGACTCCTCTGACAATGCAACAGCACGGCATGACCGACTCTCTTTGATACTATACTCCTTCGATCGGTTCTACCAGATACTGCGGTTCTGCTTTGGGTGTTCTGTTTGGTACGTTGTTTTGCGGATTACTCACCTAGCCCTCTTTTGCAGCGAAACGAAATTCATCTCCGCACACACACACACATATATTGATACTTGTCTCTACCGCAGTGCGTACGTAGCAGCTACACTGGTACTTGCGGTGTTCGGAGCACTGAGCTGCATCTCCATCCCCTCGACCCTCGTTACCATCCACAGCTCCTTCCAAATGACAGACACAAACACGATGGCGGTGGGCAGCGGTGAAGGAAGGGACGGGGACCACTCCCCACCGGACTCTCAAGAGCCCGTGAAAACCATGAGACCCAAAGGTATCTATCTATATATATATATATGCTTACTACCTTTCTCTCTGCCCGACTGACTGGCAGCTCTAGATACCGCCTGGTTCCAGCAACGGATAAAAGCATGGAGGTAATTTCCCAAACCAAATCCCATTGTTTTCACCCGCTAACCTTAATTCCAGCCCTCTAATCACCGCTCCCTGGACGATCCCCATCTTCTTCATCCTCGCGACCATCTTCGCCCCCATCGGCGGCCTCATCCTCTTCGCCTCCTCCCAGGTCCAGGAGCTCACAATCGACTACACAAACTGCCTGACCAGCGCCAACGACACAATGTCCCCCATCCCGCGCAGCTCCTTCAGCACCTACTTCCACACGCCCCTCACCCCCGCGGATCTAGAGACCTACAGATGGCGCTCCACCCCCGCTACCAAGACCTGCACGCTGCAGTTCACCATCCCGTCCAACTTCACCCCTCCGGTGCTCTTTAGATACAAGCTATCAAACATGCACACCAACCACCGGCGCTTCGTCATGTCCCTCGACCGCGCGCAGCTCATGGGCGAAGCCCGCACACTCGACGAACTCCGGAGCTATTCAGACACCACCAACCTCCGCTGCAACCCCCTCTACGGAAACAGCGAGGGCATCCCCTACTACCCGTGCGGCGAGATCGCAAACTCCATGTTCAACGACACCTTCCACGCGCCCGTGCGGCCCTCGGACGGCCACACCTACCCCGTCACCTCGCGCGGCATCGCCTGGCCGCAGGACCGCGCGCTCTACCGCCCCACCACCTACGCGCCCAGCGACGTCGTGCCGCCCCCCTTCTGGGAGGAGTCGTTTCCGCAGGGCTACAACAGCAGCAACATGCCGAACCTGCAGGACTGGGAGGAGTTCCACGTGTGGATGCGGCCCGTGGGGCTGGCAAAGTTCAGCCGGATGGCCAAGCGCAACGACGCGGACGTGCTGGGCGCGGGCGTGTGGCAGATGAACATCACGTCGCGCTTCAGCACGCAAGGGTATAACGGGCGCAAGGCGCTGGTGGTGTCGACGAGCAGCGTGATGGGCGGGAGGGGCCCGCAGCTGGGGTGGGCCTATGTGGTTGTCGCGGTGGTGTGTGCCGTGCTGGGCGTGGGGATGACGGCGAGGGTGGCGGGGGCGCCGAGGTGAGTTTTCCGTATCTTGGAGAAGAACGGGGAGGGGTGAGGTGAGGTGAGGTGTGAGGTGTGAGGTGCTGACTTTTGGACAGGCAATTGGGCGATCCGGCGTATTTGTCGTGGAATAAGCCCGACTACTTTGTAGTCAAGAGCAGCGACGAGTGCGGGTCGCTGTGGGAAAAGTGGGTCAATTATTGTCACCGGAATGGCTTTCCTTGATTGATTCAAGAGGGTGGGGTGCGTGGGTTACTTGAGAAAAAAGCTGTAGGACTAAAAACTTTGAGCTGTTTTTCTGTCTGTTGCTTTTGAGTAGTGTAATACTATTAGCCTTTTTCTTTTTTTTTTTTTTTCTTGTTTTTTTTTTTATTTTTATGACTGGAGTTCTCGGGGTGTTGTTGTTGGTAGTAAAGATTGTGACCCTAACCCTGGCCGACCGAGTGATATCTGGAGAGAATGCGGGTTTGCGGGGTGGTGGTGGACCGCTGGGAAGGGGATAGAATGGGCAGAGCAGAGGGGTATGTATGGGTGTGCGTTTGGTGGGGGGGGGGTGAAAAGTTTAGAATTGATTTTTTTTTCGCTGGAATGGTTGTTGTGGGGTTTGGGACGTAGTCGAACCGTGAATGTGGATGGGTACTGAAACATCTTGTGTGATAACGGGCACGTACAAGACGAGACGAGACGAGACCACCCCGCACCAAGCCCCGCCCCGCCCCGCCCCGCCCCGTCTCGTCTCGTTCCATCATACAGTACCGGAAAGGGGGGGGGTAGAAATTCACTATACCGTGTTCTAGTCGATACGCTAGTGATGCTGCAAGAATACGGTATCGGTATGGTGTTCCACTTACGGTGGGTGTGCTGTGGGGTTTAAACCGGTATTCTTGGCCTCAATGCCGTAGCCCCCCCCACTGGCACGTGGGGGAGCAATTCTACCCTCGTTTTCCGAGACTGCACTCGGGCGGGATTCATGCTGATATAAACCACCGAAACCCGGAACTGAGGCCGGTGAGGAACTTGTGCATGCATACATGCATACATATAACCAAATGTGTCCGTCCAAACGTGCATGCGTAGTTAAACCGGGGGGCCGCCGTAAGTCCTTGGCGGATTGATTTGCAGCCGGCGTGGGCGTGAGGGAGGGAGGGAGAGAGAGAGAGAGGGAGAGAGGGGGGGGGGGGCTTGTTTTGCGTCATTTGGTATCACTCGGGGGTCTTCAGAGTTACATGTATCTTAGGAAAACCCCTCCCCCCCCCAAAAAAAAAAGGAGAAGAAAAAAACGTCTCGAGACATCTCGTCTTGTCCCAGGATCGTCTGGGGGGGGGCATTGAGTCTCATACCCATCGTCAATCTTGTGTTTACTGGCTACAGGGCTAACAGTGATGTCTAGACTGACAGTTAAATTATAAAGCCCATTATCAACAGACAATCCCACCTGGTCTATTCATGGATCGACTGCGCCGCCTATCACTGAAGAACATGAATAGACCGCGCTCATGGTTCGACCAGAACAGCCATCGATATCCGAACCCTTTTCACACGAAGACCAAAAGTTTCTATTTAAAGGAGTAGTAGATAAATACAATGAAAATTCCCGTAGTTGATACATGTGCACAAAGCCGCCCTTTCACAGCGACGCCATCGACCTCCTCATCACAATCTCATCCCACATCCAATCCAACAGCATATCCTCCGCCTCGCCCACCGTCGGCCGCACCGTCAAATTCCATTCCAAAAACCCCTTCTCCATCCTCGGCGCCGGATACATCCAATGGTACCCATCCATGCTCGTCTCCGGCCTTGGGTCCGTGATCGTGTACGCGTCGATGAACGACACGCGGGTGCTCGCGGCCTCCTCGAGCTCCATGTCATCCATCTTGGCGGCCCTCTCGGCCTTGATCTGCGCGGCCCACTGCTTGACGGCGGCGAGGGTGAGGCCGCGCTTCGCCCACGAGGTGGCCCGCGTGTGGCCCTCTTCTCCGAAGCATTGCAGCGGCTGCACCACGCTGGCGGCCGACCGGACGAGCACGTGCGCGCCTTTCCAGCGCGTGTCGAAGTAGGCGAAGGCCGTTTTGTGGTGCTCGAGGAACTCGTCGTCGGGCATGCTGCCGGCGAAGTTGCCTACGTCGAACACTACAGCTTGGGGTGTCTTTAGCTTGTCAAGGCGCTTGACGGCATCACTGAATCTTGCGCCCACGAAGGCAAACGTGACGTCTACCTTGCGTCCCTGGAAGCTGGAGTAGGTCCGCGTTGCAGCCCTGTTGCCGTGCTCGAGCAGGGGCATTTCTGGGTGCTGCTCACACACACCCGTACCCTCATCGTTCCCGAACAAATCCGGGAAGGCCCGCGCGCACACATATCCGCGAGCAACTGACCCGCCGATGAAAACTACATGGCTCAGCGCCGGCGCCTCGTCCAGGACATCCGCAAAGCTCCTGTGCGGGATCTTGCAGTCGTAGGGTGAGTACACGTATCGCGAATGGTCCGCCGAGTCGGGCAGGGAGTTTTCTGCGATCGAGACCTGCGAGGGATGGAATTCGCCGTACGAGTAGGTGGTCCGCATGCTGGACTCGACGAGGTCGTGGTTGATCCATCGGCCGTCTAGCACTTCCTCGTAGCTCTTGCAGGCGCGGTGGACATCGTACTTGTCTCTGCCGATTGGGAATGGGCCTCTCTGGGCAATGAGCAAGTGCGGTGTCCCGCCTACAGACTGCTTGTAGAGCTTGGCGGCATCAGGGTCTCCCTGTAGTTCGGTGCAGTTGGGGTAGTTTGGCCACGCGTAGACCTGGTATTCTCCTTGTTCGTGGAGCACCATTGCGGCTTCGACAGTGCGGGAGTTTACTTTTGAGAGTGCGGTAATGGGGACGGAGGCGGCCGTCGGGCCGTATAATTGGATGTTATAATTTGGGGGGCAGTACTTGATGTCTTCATGGTTGCATTCGATACGGAGGCGGAAGGGCTGGTTGATGGCTACGATATTGGGAAAGTGGGCAGTCCATGGTCCGGGGGTGAGTGGGGTGGACTCTGAAAGAGGGTTGAAACTGGATGGGAAGGGTGTTATATGGCTGGAAGGCTTGGTGAGTGGGTAGACTTTGTTGGTATCTATATTACTGGCATAAGTTTCCATTCACAGCTCAATGCATTGGCAATTGGAGTGATGATACCAATTATACTCTCTTCGCCCCCTAATGGGTGTTTAAGCGGTTTGTATAGAGATATTGAACCCGGACCCCCGAGTTTTGCGATAAATGTAAATGCTCCCAGGAATCCTAAGCAATATAACAAAGCCCGGATACTCCTTCGTGATAAACCTATCGGTGTGCTCGTGCCTGCCCTACACTCCATTATCATTAAAAATACAGAAAACTTCTAAACTCGGGTCATTACTTGCCTTGCGGGGGTGAAATGGGCTCCTTTCTGAAAACCCATAATTCTATCGTACCCGTAATGAGGTCTGTAGTTGTTGAGAACTCACTGCGGAGGATGGAAAGCGTCGGACTGAAGGCTGAAATTAAAGTGACTTGTACAGTGACATGTACAAGCAGATAAGAGATCGATCTCCTTTTCTATTATTACCCCAATGGCTTGTTGACGCACATGAAACCTTTATTCCGATGCAAGAGCGGGCGGATGGAATCGGGCGAACCAATCAGACCTATGCTGTGTCTGAGTGCGCATGGGGGGGGGGGGGGGCGGGAGAAAAATCTCGGAGAGTGACGCAGTGAGATCTGAGGTGGTGAGGGTTTTTAGGGTATGGTTAGTGTAGGCATTTCTAATTAACCAAGTGAGGCGCGATCTGCAATTTCTTCACGGCCCGCGGGTTCGGTGCGTTGTTGGGCAGGTTTCTTGGTGTTGAGGTTTACTAGACTGGGTTTACTTTAATAGGCTGCCAAGACATTGAACTGTCTTGGTTGAAGATAGAGTAGAGTATGATATCGTCTTGAGTAGCAATTGGGGTGCGAGAGATTCCGATGAAGTCTTGTTGATTACTAGTAGTTGTGATGGAGATTATCATGCTTGTCTGCAAGAAAGTTGTTAGACACAATTCATAGTATCTCCTGAAACTTACTCTCATTCCCATGCACTGAGTTGAACACCGACCAATGGTAAGGCAGATATATGATCCTAAAATCTGGATCAGATCAAGCTCCGTGTATGAGTGCCATTGGGTTCGAGTTCTTTATATCGGCGGTGTATTTTGTTACTCCAGTAGTAAATAATGCAGAACCACTTTGCCATTCATTACTGAATGACGGTATAAGTGACAAAGTCATTTACCATAAGTGAGATACAGTCTCTTATCGACTAAATGACCAAGTCAATAAACATTTTATTAAAATACCATTGTCCGCCATGGGCGGTGCGTGCGAGCTCGGAGCTGAGGTTTAACGTTGATTTTTCGACACGGTCCAACTGAATGACCCAGGTTTGAATTCCGGGGCCGGCGGTCTACGATACCGTAACTTAAACATCTACAATATATTCATTAGTGACGAGCCTACCCAATGAATATAATAGGAAAGCTTTAGTGATATAGATGTTGGGAGGACAGGTTTATGGCGGTAATACGTACATCTTACCTATCATGATGGATTTGACGATGGCAGTGATGATACTTTTCAACCGTTTCATGGTTGTGTTTGTGGGGTGGACGTGGGAGAGAGGCGTCGCCATAGCGCGGGGGTTGAAGACAAAGTCTCACACTACATGGTAAAAGTTAAAATTTAGTATAAAGACCTACGTGCTGCTAATTTAGCTCAACGACCCATAAACGATTCCAAAATGACTAAAGTCAATGGTTTCTCCCCTTTCAGATATAGCTACATGCAAACCTTTTCGACCCTCTTTGGCCTCACGTGCACTGGGGTCTGGATATTGCTACAAAGTTTTCTATGAAGTAAACCTACATGTAGCTAAAGTTTACCACACCTTGAATCTATATTCCGAACTAGCTCGGCAACATCTACTAGCTGGGCGAGTCAACGGACAGTCCATAGCAGGTGTTGGTTTAAAATTAACCACAGGAAAATCATCTGAATCCGTAGTTCATCCCGGAGCTGCCTACTCGATCATAAGACAGCTACAGCTTTACATTTACTAGAATGTATACTTAGTTACTAACCTTGAAAGAGCAGTGCATTAGGAGTCTGATGAGCTCTAGTATGTGTATACTAGACTCTGTTATATTGGGTTCATGTTGGCGGATATGAGAGTTGGCCAATAGGTCAGAGCTCTGTCCATCCATTACACCCCGCCATTGGCTGCACTGTGACATAGAAGCGGTTGCCCTATGCCGGTGCTCTTGGTTTCTATAGCTGGGGACACTGTACTCTGATGTTGGTTCAAGATGTTTTCCCAATATTACTATGGCCGGAGGCCTGGCCATTGATATCGATAGCCAACGAGTGGCCGGAGAGCTCAGGCGGCGATGAACACATCTGTGATGCTCAACGGCGGTATATAAAGCCAGTCCTTACTTTCACATTGAGGCTTTGAAATGCACCTGGATAATAACGGTTTATCGCGGGGCAGCTACACACAAATTATACCACGTTCATCATATATTTTGGTCATAAGATTACAATTCTACTTTGGATAATATCTATTGGATTCTAAAAAGACTATATACCGTCTATATATCCACAATATAACTAAATCTAGGTCTATATCGACATCTTGGCCACCTCTCTCAGGCCTCTCTCCAGATCATCCCTCAGGTCTTCCCACCCTTCACATCCCACACTTACTCTTACGACCGTCTTGGCCACAAACTCATCCGACATAGCCCTCCACTCAACCAAACTCTCCACTCCTCCCAAGCTGGTGGCATGATGGAACCACTTCAGCCGGCTCGGTAGCACCTTTGCTTGCTCCCCACGAACAGTGTGAATTGTGAATACCGGTCCAAATCCATTCGGCATCTGCTCCAGCAGCCACGGCTCCTGCTCCTGTAGACTAGCATGCGACACCCTAGCCACGACACTCGCAATCTCCTTATCACTCTCCACCAGACCCGCCAACCACTTTGCCAGCCTCGTCGCACTATCCGACTGCCTCTGCACCCGCAGCTCCAGCGTCCTGATACTCCTCAACCCCAGCCAGCCCTCCAGCCCGCCCATCACAGAGCCCACATACATCCTCTCCCACCTCAACTTCACCGCCTCCTCCTCACTCTTAACCGCCACCACGCCCGCAAGCAGGTCCGAGTGCCCGCCAATGTACTTTGTCGCCGAGTGCATGACATAGTCCGCGCCCTGCACGAACGGGTCCTGCAGCGGCGGCGGCGCAAACGTGCTGTCCACGCACAGGAACGCCCCGCGACTATGCGCCTTCTCCGCGTACTCGCGGATGCTGCTCGCCGTGCCGTCCGGGTTCAGCGGCGTCTCGAGATGGATGAGGTCGCCGGGCTGGAGGTCCTCGGCTGCGCAGTCGAGAGGGAGGACTTCGAGGCCATTGAGGCGCGTGAAGATCTTGACGACGTTGTGGCAGCCGTGGTAGCAGCTGCCGATGGAGATGCGGCGGGGGTTGACGCGGACGAGGATGGCGTGGAAGGCGGAGAGGCCGCTGGCGTAGGTGGTGGAGGGCCCGTGGAGGAGGGTGCTGAGGACTTGCTCGAGGCGCGTAGTAGAGGGCGTAGCGAGACGGGAGTAAACATAGGGGAGGGATGGGAGCTAATTGCTGTTAGTTGGTTTGTGGTTTTGGGAGTCAATGGGTGGGTTTTTTACCTTGCCGGAGGTGTCGGCGGCTGCGGCGGCGACGACGAGGTCGGAGGATGGGATCAGGGCGTCGGGGTCCCGGGGGTAGTGGAAGGTTGTGGAGACGTGGATTGGCGGGGCGACATCGTTCATGGGGCGGGTGGCATGGGCGTCGTCGGCATGGATGGAGAGCGTGGAGATGGAGGGGGTGCGTTCTGCGGACATTGTGGAGGCGAGTGCTGCTTCAATCTCTATGTATAGGTGAGTATATGGAGAATTTGGAGATGCTTGGGGAAGAGGAATGGGGGGAGAAGAAGGAGGAGGTCTCTTTACAGGTGTAAATACTCATTCAGAGTCATTCTCCTCGGACAGGCCGTCAGCTAATTATAACCAACTAGATGATCAACTAATTATAACCCCATAGCGATTGATAATGATTATTAGAAAAGCGACAGGGGGCTATCACGTCAACGAATGTCTGTATGGGGCTAGGTACCCGTTAGAGATGGCTGATTTAGCTGTATAGAGCAGGTCGTCGATATAGTGGGCACTGGCTGTGTAAATATAAATATACCGACCAATGCTTCATTCGTCCATTCACATTCATCCTAGAGATGCCTCTTTCAATCACTCGCAGCACTGTGATCATTGGCCCCCCGCCCCGCTTCCCCTTTTCTCTCTCCCCCGCAACGCATGCGCGGACCCCTGTCTGTCTGTCACCTGCACCGCGATAACGATAACAAACAGCTCCTGCTGGCCGTGCGTATCACAGCGATCGAATGCCGACGATAGCCAGCAGCCAGCCCGAGGTACGTTCGTAGGAGACGTCACTTCTCCACAGCTTGTCTTCTTCATAGCGTGTCTTCCTCTGCTGCTCTTCTGAGAAATAACTCTTACTGAGCTCCGTTTATCACCACCCATCATCCATTACAATCATCATCCATCCTCTGATTCATCAACAGCTAACAGCTATTCGAGAATTGAGTGCATTGCCCTTCATCAGGCCATTAAAGTCAATCTGCAGCTAGCAATTGCTTTCTTACCACTCCGTCAAGATGCTCAGCTACCTCACCCACCGTAGAAACTGGTACCCCTCCTCCCACTACTCTCTACGTCTACTATACATATACACAGCTCACACTAACACCCTTTACAGCAAGGAAAAGCAGGCCTCCCGTGCCTCTGCAATTGCCTCGCTCCCACCAGTCTATCACGAACCCCTCACACTCCCCGACATTACAATCCTGACCACCCCCGTCTCCATCACCTCCTCCCTCGTCCGAAAAGGCGACTGGAAACCTGTTGAGATCCTGCAAGCTTATGGCAAGCGTACACTGCAAGCCCATGCCCAGACAAACTGCATAACGGAGGTCTTGATCCCCACGGCGGAGGAATGGCTAGCCCATTCCTTAGCCAGTGGAAGAGATACTGATGCCGGTGTAAACCTCAATGGCCCGCTCGCTGGTATTCCCGTCAGTCTTAAGGACACGGCAAACGTCAAGGGATACGATAGCTGTATTGGTTACAGCAAGTACACGAAACGTCCTGCGAAAGAGGACGCGCCGTTGATTAGGCTGCTGAGGGATGCGGGCGCGGTTCCATTTGTGAAGACGAATGTACCGATCACGCTGCTCTCGTTCGAGAGTACGAACCCCGTCTTTGGGCGTGCTTCAAACCCGCACAATGCACGGTACTCCCCCGGCGGTAGCACCGGTGGTGAAGCTGCCCTCCTCGCCTTCGGCGGAAGCCGCATCGGCGTTGGTACTGACGTCGCCGGGAGTGTCCGTGTGCCCGCCCACTACTGCGGGATCTACGCGCTGCGCTGCTCGACCGGTCGATTCCCGCGCTCAGGCTGCGTGAGCTCCATGGCCGGACAGGAGGGTGTTCCAGCCGTCTACTCGCCAATGGCAAAGACAATGCCCGACTTGACCTACTTCCTCGGCGCCGTCGTCGGCATGGAGCCCTGGAAATACGACCACACCGTGCACCCGCTCCCCTGGAAACCATTCCTCCCCGACCGCCCCATGCGCTGGGGCGTCCTCCGCAGCGATGACGTCGTCCCGCCATCCCCCGCGTGCGCCCGTGCCCTGGAAATGGCCATCGCAGCACTAAAATCCCAAGGCGAGCAAATCACCGAACTCGACAACGTTCCCAACAACCTCACCTCTCTCCGTCTCGCCGCTCACCTCCTAAACTCCGATGGTGGAGCCACATATGCCTCCCACTTCAGCTCAATCTTTGAAGCAAACGACCCCGGCGTCGCACAGATGCGCTTCTACTTCCTCCTCCCGCGCTTCGTCAAGAAGATATACTGCGCATACGTTCGCTACATCCGGCGCGACGCAAAGTGGGCCGACTGCCTCAGCGGCTGGCACGCGCGCAGCGCGGAGGAACAGTGGAAGTTGGTGATCGAGAGGGAGAACATTAAGAAGTCCTGGTTCGACTATATGCAGGAGCAGGATTTGGACTTTGTACTTACGGTGCCGAATGCGCTGCCGGCGGTGCCAGAGGGCGGGATGAAGCGTGGGTTTGCGAGTTGTGGATATACGTTTTTGTGGAATCTTGTTGGTGTCTCCCTTCCACATATATTCGATATCGAGGGTGTAAAGTGCTGATGGGTGGATGATATAGATCGACTACGCATCCGGCGTGCTCCCCGTGACGAAAGTCGACGCCGTCAAAGACGTTCTTCCAAGCGGGTTCTTGAAGGGCCTCGATAACCAGATTGCGAAGAACGCATTCGTGGACTATGATGCAGCGGCCATGGCGGGACTGCCGGTCGGGATACAGGTTGTGACGAAGAGGCTAGAGGAGGAGAAGTGTTTGTGGGGTATGCAGAGAGTTGTGGATTGTTTGGAGATGGTGGGGGATGCGTATCAGGAGATTGAGGTTAAGCTAGACTAGGGGGTAATGATTGCCGGGGGTGGTTTTCGGGAGTCGGTCATGGGTTGTCACTCACTCGCGGACGGATGACTGACGGCGACGGACTAGATAATGGAGTTTATGGCGAGCTTGGTGATTATGGACTTGTTACGAATGCGGCACGATTCCTCCTGTAATTAATGATTTTTGATGTGATGATATGAATTTGATGTTGCTAAATATAGTGTGAACTAAATAGCTAATAGATGCTACAATTTTACTCCCGCTAATAAATACAATTTGATTCCATTCCCAATAAAACAAAAGAAAAGTTCCACATTAAAAAAACAAGATGAAAACAAATGAATGTCCCATATTCCCCATTCCCATTAACCAACAACGATAACGCCGATCCATTCCATCCCATCCATAATCCATGCAAGACTTTATCTCATCCGGCCCCCACCTAAACCACACCGGCCCACTTCTTCCCAACCCTCGCACCCCCCTTCTTCCACAAAAAGCCCAAACAGACCGCCGACGCCACCATCAAGACCGTCGCCACAATGCCGACCGCCCAGACACCCTTCATCATCTCGCACACACCCACACTGCTCACGACCCACTGCGCATACTCCATGGGCAACAGATAGAGGTCGCCCCTCTTCGCATGGAAGCCCACATTTACGCTGACATACGCGCCGGCATTGTTCTCGGTGAAGATGCCGACGGCGCGGCACGACAGGTATGCGAGGGGCTTTCCGATGACGATAGTCATGACGAGCAGGGCGAGGAAGAAGACGGCGTCGGTGGCGGCGGCGTAGTGCGCGGGCAGCTGGTTGTCGTAGTAGAGGGCGAGCGTGATGATGGTGTAGAGGAGGGAGAAGATGGAGATGCAGAGCGTGCCGATGAGTGGGGTGGAGGGCTGCTGCATGGCGTCGGCCATGGAGGCGATCAGGTGCGCGCTCAGGCCGAGGATGGTGATGAGGGAGGCGGTTTGAAGACCGCGGCAGGCGAGGAAGATGTACCCGAGGGCACCGTTTGCGTGGAGTGATGAGCGGGGCATCTTGATATTGATGGTAGTGTTGGTGTTGGTTGGTATTTGGTAGTAGTAGGTTTTTTTTAGTGGTTGGAAATGATCGTGAAGACGGTAAATATTATCGTAGTGATAATAATAGTAATGAAACGAAAAAAGACTAGTAAAAGGTAGGGTGTTTAAACTGCGCTGCAGTGGAATCGTCAAGTCCTATCGAAGGAAACTATTGATTCTAGAAGTGAATAAAAAACTAAAAAAGGAAAACTCGAACTGTGATGGCGGAACGAAAAGAGGAGTCCGGTCATAGGGGGAACCACGCCTCCTTAAGTATCTTCGGTACGGTAGAGTTCGCAAACACCCCACCTCCTGATCCTACACCACCGGTGCCGAAAACATCTGCATCTCGAAACCCGTCAAGGGGCAGCAGTGCGTGCTCGCGAGCGCAGATCCTGTCAGAAGGCTAACTGACGGGTCCATACAGGGCCTGTTCCTTCCTTCGTGGTTGATCGTCCCAAGGGTCCACCTTCTGCATCTAGCCGGAAATAGTTTGCCGCTGTTGCAAACGAGAGGGTTAGGGGTCGCACTCAGGGGTGCATCGAAGAGTGGCGGTTTCTATTGGTTGGTGGCGAGGGCGCTTATGTTTTCCCCTGCCTTTCAGATTGATTCGCTGCTGGCGACTTGCAACTTGTGAAAGCTGAAAATATCCAACTAACTCGATACTGCACTCATGGGGTCATAATTACCGCAAATTAGCTGCTTGAGGCTCTGATCGTCGAAGGCATGTAGCCGATTCGAGGTTGTGTAAATAGACTCCCATCTGCTTTGGGAGGGTTTCCGGTTCTAGAGCAATTTGTGGAAGCAACTTGAGATGAAGCATTCGGCGGCTCGACTATTATTGGTGCTGAAGAATCTTCATTAACGCGGGACCAGGCAGGCATCCTTGGCGCTCGATAAAGTTAAAGTAGATAGGCCCATGGATGGATAGATGCCTGGATCCTATTGATAGATTGATAGTATACTAAATTACTTAAAGGCTAGCTTAACCAGAAATCCTCAGGGTATCCTTGCCCATATTCTACCTACATCGCCAGTGTGGAGAGATATACCGCCAAAACTCGAAAAATTGGCTATCTCCGTCCAGGGATTACCACTTGAGTGATTGGTTGAATGGCATCGATCTGCACCAGAAGTTTCCCGTACAAGTAATTTTGATCTAGCCAATTTTTCGAGTTATGGCGGTATTCGGGGTTGAGTTTAATTCGGCTTTAGCTTCGTGTCCAAAACCTTAGAACTAGTTTTAACTTTCAGCCCAAGTATCATAATCAGGGGATGAGAGAGATCGATATTCAGTCGATCGAGACCAGAGACGTTTCCTAACCTGGCTCGGTATCTTCCCGTGGTTGTCAAAAATGAGTCTATTTCTAATTCATATGATATTTGATACTATAGCCTTAGGGGCCTTAACGTTCGTCTTAAGTTTTGGGTTTGCATCGATTAGGCGTTTATATGCGTGTTCCACCTTGCAGGAGCATATGTAGTTCACCGCCATGGAGATGGCTGCCTACTTGTTAATCCACCGCAAGCTATTCCAAATAGATTCTAGAAGTTGGTGGGGGCGAAAACCAGAAACTCTTCCAACGCGCAGATTGGCGTTGCGAAAGAACAGGATCCATGAAGAATTCAAGCCAGCCTTGATCGAAGAGGTTGAATGGAAGAATCGACATGAGTGGAGTGAACGGACTCTAATTAAGGCTACGTACTTTTTTGATCAAGGCCACGTATACAGCAATAGCACAATAGATATATGGTGTTCCGCTATTACGCCACATATGGGCGGCAAGAACTTTGGAGAAAGACCACTTGATTGATGGATGAACTGTAGGCTCTGGGTGGTGCGTATTATGTGTACTTCTCGCAGTGCAGTTGCCGGAAGCAAAAGGGAACACTACATGTATCGATGCATTCATCATGGCTATGGATGTACATGTGTTCATGTTTAGATATATAGGTGCAGTTCCATCTAGCATAAACAACATTCATATCCTATAGACGTTCGATGTATAGTTCGTCATGACGCGGAGCATTCAGCGCCGAGATTTTGATCTATAATAAGTATCTTGCAATCCATGATAAACACGTAGACCTCATCATCCTATATATATTCACCTACTCCATAAGGTATCACTCGGAAAAGCAACCTTAGTCGCCGTGCCTAGCAATTGATTAATTGATTCATTAGGTCAATAGCCATGCCTGGCGGTTGAAACCACAAGAGGCAGTCTTCCTGAGTAATAGGCTTTAGGGAGACTTAACTAGCTAGAAATATCAAGGCACTTTTGATTTTGTCTGTGCTGCAAAGGCCTAAACTTGCGCTCGTCAAATTGTTAAAAACAACAATTAGGATGGTAACTGTCAAATTACATAAATATAATCGCTACTATGTACTCAATGAGACGATTATCAAATACCTAATGCCTCTACAGCATTTAATATTTCCAGGCGTGTGAACAGAGACGCGTTTATCTACCTATCTTGTAATTCAAAATCCCAACGAATGCCTTTTATTCTGATTTAATTATAATTATTTTCATCCCTTCCTTTTACTACCAGCACATTCCATCCTCCTATACTATAAACCACCGCTTACAAACAAATTCCGCAGCAGTAATGCCGCCGCCCTATATGTGCCGAATCCGGCCAGCAGCATCACCACCTCTTCCGGACACGGCTGATCACAAACAATCACTCGGCCACCAACTGCAATAAGCTTTCTTTGATGTGTCAACTCCTTTGTTTGCCACCCGCCACACTGCGTCACACTCTGATTCTATCACACAGTCTCTATGCAATTCTATAAAACTCTACTCCAACTATCACTTAAGCTAACACCGAACTCATTCTTCACATCAGCGACAGAACACCACAGAACTCAGAACTGATTGTTGTGATCTTTGCTGCCTTACGAATATTCAGACAAATATCAGCAATTCGGATATAGCTTGTTGCGATGTCTACACTTACGTTGGGCTCCTCGAAGCCTACCGAGAGCTCTCCGAAGCTGGAATCAAATGGCCCAGAGCTTCCTACAAGCTCTTCAAGGGCCACTGGAAGCTCTTCAAAACCGACTAAAAGCTCTCCAAAGCCATCAAAAAGCACTTCCAAGCCCACCGCAAACCCCCAACCAACCGAACCCCCCTTCTCCTCGCTCCCCAACAGCATCACAGAGCTCACCGAGATCCTCACCAACCTCAGCCACCACCACCCCACGCCACCGACCATCTCCGCCGTACCCCACACCGCACCTCCCGCTACCTCCACACCCGCACCCACACCCGCACCCAACCCCTACCACTTCCCCACCACCCTCGGCCCGCACCTCCACGAACAAACCTACATCCTCTCCGCCCTCACCGCGCTCCTCCAGCTCCTGCACAACCAACGCTGGACGCCCACCACCGCCGCCACCAACCTCGCCTCCCTGCAGCGGAAGCGCAGCACCGTATCAACACTCACGATCCTGCCGCCGGAGCCAAAGGGCGGGGGCGAGATGGCGACGCTGCAGTACGTGGCGCTGAAGGAGCAGAAGGAGATGTGGGAGGCGATGACGGTGGCGCAGCGGGAGTGTGAGTATGAGGAGCTGTTGGAGAGGGTGGATGCGGCGAGGGCGAGGGTGGAGGCGGGGGAAGGGGAGAGGGTGGGTGTGGGGGAGGAGGTGTTGAGAGAGTTTGATGCGCAGTTTGATGAGGCGGTGGATGTGCTGGTGGAGAGGTGGGGGGTGTGGGCGACGAAGGGGCTGGGCGATGATATGGTGATGCCGTGTTTGTATGGGGAGTTTATGGACTGAGGGGTGGGGAGCTGTTATGGGTTTTTCGTAGAGTTGTGTTTGACGCGCTCGCTGTCGGGTAGAGTCATTGTATTTTATATTATTTATTATTTATTAGCCAATAACCAATATCTTAGCTACATGTAATGTAGAGTAGTATTCTTTAGGTCTCAATAGCCATATCAATATATTCCAAGGAAAGAATTGCTTCGCGGTATTGAGCAGTTTGTCTACACTCATAGTAATATATATTTAAACCTATCAATAGGGATTCATTGTCAATCCACAAATCCCAATAATAAACCAGAATTTCAAAACGTGAAAAACTGTATCACTCGAACCATAATCTATGATCCGGATCGACCCGTTTGGCATCGTGTGAAAGCCCACGGATCAGCTCCGTGAAGCCCAGATCACCACAATCCAATAATACTGTTGAATATGCAGTACTTTCGTTCATAATTTTTGGGAAATTCCAGTGTCAAGTATCAGCCGTCGAGCTTTGTATCTGTAGGTATATGTATCTGTAGGTATATGTATAATACAATACATATGCACCATAGCGAAGGATAGCAACCTGCGCTGCATGAATTCGGTATGCAAATCAAGGCTTGAGAATGTGTACCCCGACGGCCCATGATAGGCTCACATAATTACTAAGGCATTTATTGTTATCGATATACCTAGGGCATGAACTCTCAAGAATTGAAATTAGATATATAGAAGGCCCGTTCAGAGAGTTACACTTGAACACCTAAGGAAAAACTGTTCGACCACGCTATCTTCGCATGAAATAAAGTCGATATTCGTGAACAAAGATGAAATGATAGACGTAGCGCTGGAGATTCACGTACTTACAAGGGCAGATGCCAAGATCTCAAAATATGTCCCGGGCGATTGGCGAATATGGCAAATTCGCGAATGGACTTCTAGCCTCATACATCTGCGGCCGGACTAGTCTATTCGCGAATAGCCCTGGAAAACTATGGTTTTAGTAGGACAAACAACTCACCGCTAACAACTAACAACGACTCAGGTCAACCACCAACGACCTCTACAACACCAGCGACCCTAAGGACCGCACCTGTATTAATAATTGGCGACTTTGAGATCTCCAACCATCTTGAGGGCTCGACTCGCATCAATAATTAGTACCCTGTGGCCTCCTGTAGCCTCTATCAGCTTCAGCGACAGCTCCCATCATAGCCCTTTGACAGGGCTATATATCCTCTGATAAGTCTCAGATCATTGATAAGTTTTAAGACCACAATTTACTGCCCTTTGTCCAGTCCATTCGTCAATGGGCCGGTCCAGTCCCAGATGTATGGAGCAAGCAGTCCATCCGCGAATCCGAAGTATTCGCCAATCGCCCGGAGCAAATACTCTATGTACCTACTCCACAACTTCTTTCCTCCACACACCGACACCAGCTAATCATACCAAGGCGTCAATCCCTCTCCGGATCTCCGAGTAGATTATTATATTACTGAGCAAACCCCGCCCCTTAATCAACATCAATCCCTAACCGGGGATTCATAGGGTCGATATCGGGATATCGATCACTGACTTTCTGTATGTAATCACAGAACTTTGGACATGTGGGGTTTGGGTAGTTCGGTATACATACTCTGTTGGGTGTGTAATTAAGGAGTCCAGGTATGATAAACACGATGTCGTGTTACTGTAGTCGTCACCTTCGAAGAGGACTCGGCAAAATATATTACTCATCCCTTCCCTACGCGCCGCCTGTTACGATGTCTTCGCGTCTGAATGGCTAGCTAGTTGGGGCTAGTTAGCGATCACTCGCTCAACTGTTTCATCCCACAGTCGGGATACCCACGTTGGACGGCGGCCGACATCGGGTGAACGGAGTTGCAGAAAAAGTATGTGAGCCGCTACAACCGTGAGGAAGAGGATTCGCGGATAACGCGGCCCCGAAGAGCACTGGTCGGTATTGTAGTACATAGACGCAATATTTCTGGCTGGTTGGAGGGGGATGGGTCGATTTTATCTAGAGATAGCGATCGAGGGATAGAGTACATGGTATTTTCTCGCTCTCTGTACCCTGCAGGTACATATAGTTAGACAAAATATTTCCCGTGGGGCCGGCTCTGTTCCTGTAGTTAGTGAAGTGCCGTATCAAGCCGGCCAAGGCTTTTTGATGAATGTATTTCCACCCTTCTCCAACAGGGCCCCTCCCTCACTCACATTTGTAGACTTGATCTGTTATGATTGTAGGCGTTCTAGCAGAGAAAGACACGGGTCGGAATGATGGCACCTATTTCGCTGCCGGCGAATTCTCCGAGAGGCGTTCGTTTTCTTTTTTTCCGTCCGTTTCTTTAAGCAAGATCAGATCATGAGCGTGTGTGCGAGCTGGGAGATGTATCGGACCCTGAGTGTGGTGATCGACCGCTAGTTACTGGGGACCGGACAACCGATGCGCCGCCCAGGTTCTAACATGGCGCACGGACCGTCTTGAGGCTCAACGTTTGGGCGTCCCGGTACAAGCCATACTCTGGCTGTGCAGTGGGCGGAGTGGAGTGTAGGTACATGTAGGTACCTACAAACTCCTCATAGGATCACGTTTTGTGGCGAACAGAGCGCTGAATCAATATGGCGTCGCCAACTACATGTAGAGTGCACGTGGGCTCTGACAGTACTATCGACTTCAAGTCCCTGCAGACCCATCATCAGATGACTTCCGCTGTTACCCCGGGCGTAGTGCAATAGATTTGCGTTTTGCAATTTGCGCTGTTCATCTTATACTCATATTGTTGTACCGTACCAACAGCTGTACTACGCCTGTTGGTATGTCTGTTGACAGTGAGCTAGGCCTATGCATTAATGCGAGTGATATTCAGAGATCAGTTATATAATTATGTTAGTTCCCAAACAAACCTTGGAACGCGTGGTGGTCATCTCAAATCCTCTAGATGTCCTCTTCTCTACTGCATACGTACTTCCGTCCCACTCCACTCCACTCCACTGCGCTCACCTCATCTCTTTCTCATGATCTAGTTCCTTCTTTATACTGCTAAATGCTCACTTCATGCCCGTTCCATCCATCAGGCTACAAATTTCAGAAACCATTACCTAACGTAATCGGCAAAGAATTTGTGTCTCACCACATGTAGGTACGCACCGTAGAATCACTCTCGTGTTTCGGCACGTTTCTCGGAGCGGAAGATTAATGTGGTTATGTGTGCTCGCTCGGAAGGCCGGTGCATCGAATGCCTTTTCCACCACCCGGCGATCGGCCCACCCCACTTTGCAGCAGCAGAGAAATAGAGTGTGGTGCTGATCCCTTTCCTCGACTATCTCTGTCAAACCCGATTTGATGACAGCATCGACAGCTCCGAGACACTGTGTCTATGAAATCCCTGTCCTTCCCCGGAACAACATGTGTGAAGCCAGAAAAAATAAAGATGTTTCCTCCGTACATGCGGGGACACATACCTGCTGGGGGAATAGTAATCCGGAGGTTTAAATTCTGTAGGACAGAGTTAAACTGATTGGATGTTGCATCGGTCACTGGCCAGAAATGTCAACATGCGGAACAACAGCTAGTAGGTACTAGCGGTTGAAACACAATTGAGTAGCGGTTCTGGAAACGTCAGCAGATGGGGGTCCGCAGATGGCCTGTTGATTCACTGAGAATGGGAGGTAGCTATTGGAGAGGCTAACTTTAAATCGATGTCTTGAATGTTTATGATCATTACAGTACTCTATAAGCACGCTTGACAGTTCCAAGCAATTGAGTCGCAGTTTGCCTCATCTATTCATCAATCCGCCAGGTTCCCCTTTTGTGCTTATCATAAACCAACATAGTCTCAAGGTTGAATACCTGTTTGTCTCATTTACCTTCTCTATCGAATGAGGGGTTTTTATTCCACCCGTTTATACCGGAAGGTAAATCATGAATCATGATCATCGATTGTTTTCATTGGAGTCGTCTGGACGAGTGCGCTCAAGTGCGCCCTAATTCTTCACGTCTGGCCATGAAGGGTATGTCCCCATTGATTATGCATTGTCCAAGTGCTCAGGCCTCAAAGACTACGCATTAATTACACGGAAGCTTCCTTCCTTTGGTACCTTCTACGCTTCCATGTTAGGAGAAATGAAACGCGCTATCGTAGTACGTAAAACCTGGAGGATTTTCAAAACGGGGAAGGCCTTGGTTCGGTCTCGATCTTGGTCTGTGAATGGAACTACCCTGGGTTAGTTGATGAATAGCGGAACTTGCCTAAGACTCGGGACGTTTCTGAAAACGATCTCGCCGCGCCGCCCCGTTAAACGTACCTACCTAGGGGCCGAGTGACATATTATGATTATTTGTCAGGTTCCAGATATATCGAGTCAACTAGGTAGCTTTAGAAGACTGAGCTATTATCTTTACCTTTGGGTCTGTGTTGATTCTAATTTATTTATTCTTGAGACATACATGTATGGTTTACTGTAGATGGCTTCCTGTATACGTAAGTGCCACCCTAACTAATTACCTTTAGTTTGCTTTTTTCCAGCCACTTGCGTGAGAAGTGAAGTGAACATCACCCAATACTAACAGATACAAAGAATTGTTTTATCTCCACAGGATGTCCTCCGATGCTCGCTAGTTATACCTACTTACATAACAATCTCTCAGCAGAAAAATAGGTAGCTACACGGCCTACAATCCCCGATGGCTGATAAGCCACATAAACACGGCGGGCCAACGACACCACAGAGTTTCTTGAAGGGTTGCCGGGTTAACATCCAAGACCGGCACCCGCCGAAAAGTGGAGATGAAGAAGAAAAAAAAATTCGGATGAAACCAGCGTCCGACATGTACCTACATACACCATATTGGCGCTATCGCTTCCGGTAACGGTAACGGAGGCGGGGAGGGGGGTTAACGTTTCATAGGTATGTAGGCAAGGCACACCGTCATTTGCACGTGGCTAATCACACCCCTGCTGGAGAGAGTAGGTTTAAGTATTTGGGTAGAGTACCACAAGAAATAATAGTCTTCTAGCATAAAGTACAGCTGGGAGGGGGATGGAGATCGCTTCTTCCAAATAAAATCCCTAGTATCAACTAGCTAGCTAGAAGGCGGCCAGTTTTTGGATTCTGATTCTGATTGACAATAGGAGAGATAAGCCTTCGTGAATTGATGTCAGGGGAACTCAGCAACTGGGAAGTCTGATAGGTAAACCGTACTACACAAAAGACACTACTAACTAAGATATTGGTCATCGATCAATTTACTTTGCAGATCTTTTTTAAATGGGGCGGCGCGGTATATGTTCCTACTCTATGTAGGTACATGCCAAACGCGGGAAAGAGCACTTTAAGTGCTGTACCCATCAAATTGACTCCCAGGTTTCAAGGTTTACATGTGGTGCAGGTCCCATTTCTGCACGCTCATGACCAGGAATAGGCCATAAGATCTAGAGCATTCGGATATTCATTCCGAGAGGAGTGCTATCTTTCAAAAACGTCAGTTGTCTAGCTCTAAGAAGGGTCTACAAAAGCCATATGCTAACCTTATAAGAACCCCGTGCCGATAAAGGTAGTAGTTTGTATCTTCTCGCGATGGCGCACGACGGACGGTGCCCAAAGCGTAGCCTGAATTTCGCGGCGGGTAATTAATTGGATGTATGTGGTGCGACTCCGACCTGCCACTACTGTATTCTACAGACCGTATCTATTCCGCTCAGATATGGATGTAAGTACACCACCGAAAATATAGGTTAAAAACGTTTCGATCGGTATCTGTTAAAAGTTGAATACTTAACTCGATATCAGTAAATATATAGTAGGCAAGCCCATGGCAAGAAGAAAAAAGGGCATCATGTGAGACAAGACCTTGCTATAGCGAGAGCTAACAGCATTTAGTTGGAGTAATTTAAGCTCATCAAAATTTATATTTCCGAATTGAGATTTCCTCTATAATTCAGAGGTTATGAGATATTTCAATTGAAACATTGCCTTCGACATGATCTTAGTTTTGGAATATATACGTGCGCAACTGATCCACACGAGAAGACCTACATATCTTTTCTGCATATGTATCACCTTGCACGGAACGATTGCCGGTTAGACTGATGTGGTGATCAAGTCTCGCTAGAGCATCCCTTTCCCCAGATGCATAGTTAGGTCCCATTTCCATCCCTGTTTCTCTCCTTGCGTTTAGCATTATCCAAGTCTTTCTCCTGACCTTTATAATTAGCGAAATTCTGTCTGGTACGTGGTTGGAATAAAGCTGCAACAAGACCCCACAATTTTCCTACCCTCTAAAACCAGCCAACAGCATCAATATCAACCTTCTGAATTTGCCGAACGTTTGATATGATAAGATCGCCCGGCAATAGAATAGCCTAAAAAACATGACAGGATTTCTCGTCAGCCCGAACTACAAGCCACTTGAGCTTCAGAAACGAGACCACGAGATCTCGCTGATTGCCTGGGGATTTACGCTGGGATTTGGGTATCTGGTGGCATGGAAAGGATATAAACAGACGTCGCGGATACCTAGGAGGAAACGCTTTAAGTCGATGTACTTTTGGTTGATCTGGGGGGAGGTTATCTCGGTGTTTGGATATGGATGTTTAACATGGCTACACGTTTCTGAATACGTTGGACCTAGGTCAGTGGTATTCCCCTCGCCCCCCACTCCATAAATTAATTCTGAAAGAGAATCGTTTTGGCTGATGTTATGAACGTGTAGCTTTTGGTTGTTTTTGGGGATCTGTTAGTAGAGCCAAATCTGCCTGCGTGCGACCTCTCTGGCCTTTTTTACTAACACAATTTATTGATATATAGGGGTTTTTTGGACGGTCCAGACCAACACGCAGTCGCAAATCATCATAAACCGTATAGCAGTGATTATCGTCGACAAGCGGCAGATCAAACTCGTTCGGCGCTGGGTGTTTGCAGTCATAATGGTCCTGTGTTTCATCTCAGCTTTCACATGGATAGGTGCTTCGCTGCAGATAAATTCAAGGTATGTGATGTAGTCGATATTGAAGAACTATATATATCTCGATATAGCTGTGTGGCTGTATTCCTAATTCGCTTGCTAATATATACCAGGTTTATTCGTGGTGAAGAGGTGCATACCCGTCTCGAAGGAGTCATATTCATCTGCATCGACATCTTCCTCAACTTGTATTTCATCAAGAGCGTCAAGAAACATCTTCTCGAGGCAGGACTGGAGAAGTATAGGCCTCTGACAAATTTCGTTATCGGTATCATCTGCATATCTATTGGAGTTGATGTAGGTTTTTCCCGAGTTCCACCAAGACCCTAGGGGGATCGATACTTGGGAAATCAATAGGCTGATATCAGTTTTAGATCGTTGTAGTAGGGATGATGAGCTACCATAATCCAAGAATGTAAGCACTACCCATCCACCCTTATAATTAAAGTCTAATCTTCCTTTAAATCAATGACGTACTAACAAGAGTCAAAAACAGATGGCTCCAATTCCACCCTCTCGGTTTCATCATCAAACTCAACATCGAGCTCAGTATGGCCGACCTAATCCGCAAGATTGCGCGCAAAAACGACCTGGGAAGGATCAACAAGCCCTTTGAGCTGTCGCAGAACAATGCATTTTCAGACTTCACCTTTGAGATGCAGCGCGACACTACAAACAGCACTATCTCGAAGCCACCAGAGGTCTTGCTCGATATAGACTCCCTCAGGAGTAGAAACATCTCTACTACTGGCTCTTCCAGCGATCAGGCAACTAGTAGCACTGCGGCTGGAGCTACATATCCTGGCACTGGAGCAGATGACGATAGGTTGCCAGAGGAGAGGGACTGGGAGAAGATGCAGAAGCGACGGCATAGCCATATGTCGTGTTTGAGATAGACGTTGGCCACCTACCTGTTTTGGACAGTGGCGATATGAAAATGATTTTGGAGTTGGTGGGGACGGGCGTTATTTGGGGCGTTTTTCTGTTTTTCCTTTTACGAAATCAATAGTGTTAATTGGGGAGGCAATACCTGCACTCTTCTACGCACAACTGCATTGGACCGATCTTATTACGGCCTCCTCCTTCTCTCTCTCAACAATAAACTCGACCTGCTACCTACCCTGTGGGGTCTAGTTCCTGTTATAAGTTGATTGGGGGAGTTTCTTCTTTCTTTTCTGGACCCGGATTCATTCGGAAGGCGCAGCCGCTTAAATATGCGATAAATGTATGTACATAATGAATAAACATTGAGCTTAAAGTTATGGGGGGCCATTTATTTGCGAACTGGATTGGAGGTCTATTGGCTAGCAAAAGAGCCCACGGGGATGGGGTGAATGGGGAAATCGACGTAAGCAAAATTGACAACTCAAGTCCTTGAAATACGACCTACAGTTCACAGTGAAGGGAGGTCTGCTGACACTTTGACAGCTTGGAATTTCACCTAGCTACTTAGGTCCAGGGCTCTCCTCATTATTCAGAGAGTGCCACATGTCGATAACGATCGGTACCGGAAAATCGAAATGCCTAAAATGTTACCCACTCTACTCTAGCTCCCCCTCCTCCTGGAATCTTCAGAATTACTAGCTGGTTTTGGCAGCCAAGAAAGGGCGGCTAGCTACTTAGGGTCGAGGTGTCAAGAAAATCATTGGCAACTGAGACTAGATCTGTGTCCACCGGCACGGCGCGGTGGCGGCCTCACGATCACGCCGACCCCCCGAGACACAGAGGGGATCTTTGCACACTGCATACAAAGACATATCTTTGGGTTTATCGAAGCCACCCTTACAATAAGATGGTGGTGGAGGTGAGGAGATAAGAGCTTCATGATTCAGCCCCAGGCTCGGCAAAACACGCGATGGTTGCACAAATCGTTGCACACAGACACTACTGTACTCAAAGTCTCAAACCAGGGCTAACAAACTAGAGTACTAGTATTTCGCTGACGTTTTTGAACTGGGCCATTATTGCATACACCCAAAATCATGAGCTTGGCGTATTTTTGTATGGCATGCAATATCAGTCGCGTCCACAAACGTCAGAGAAATACGAGTAGCAACATATGTACGCTAACTAGGGAAAAGCAAAACATCCTATGTTCTTACCCAACACTAAGTCTATGTAGACGACTTGGAATGTTGTTACTCACCGCTGCGATCGAGCCACTCACAGAGGTTGTGTTTTTAATATTGGAGAGTAAGCTGACTGAGCCCTTGCCTATTTTAAGGTTGATTTGGACGTTCAGCCGCATGCAGCCCAGGGCAGCTATGCAGGCATGTTGTTGGTAGAGTACCTGCTCTTGGTAACTCTCCATAGGGCTTGCTTTCGCTAACAAGGGGGGGTGCGGCATGTCACTATCAAACCTTATATCTAAGGCGTGGGCCGCCCGGGGAAACTTTTTATTGTTGTTGTTTTGCAATTGTTGCGCTTTATATACACGGAGACCTTTTTTTTGCACTTCGATCACTTGGCCGTGTTGTAGGACTTTTTTTTACTTTTCTCCCTTAATTGCGAATTGCTACTACACAGATTGAGAGAAATGGCTGCTACTGTTGCGGGACCGACGAAGAAGTGGGCGGATGGGCCGTTTCCATTGATTAAGACCCCCTTTGTGGATGGTGATGTGAGTTGAATTAAGCCTTTTTGGAAGTTTTTCAGCCCTCATACTTTACTTATAGTCAATCATGATGATTCACTCGATCACAATGCACTACTCTACCCAATCTCAACCCCCTCTTCAATAACAAAACTAACCACCCACCCACAGCGCAAAGACGACTACGTCCTCGCCGCAACCGGAATGTCCCTCGTCCACAACGTCATAACCCGCGGCCTCAACGCCATCTACCTACAAGCACCGCACGTCCTCCCCGCCGACACCCCCGACTTCCTCGGCTACGCCACCGCCTGGTCCGACTTCGTCCACATCCACCACGCCGGCGAAGAAGCCGCGTTCTTCCCCACGATCGAACAACTAACCGGCGTACCGGGCATCATGGACGGCAACATCCAGCAGCACGAAGCCTTCAGCGCCGGCCTCAAGGCCTTCGACGAATACATTGCCGCGGCCACGCGCGCGCCCGAGTCCTTCTCGGGCGCGCGTCTCGTCGAGATCATCGACGGCTTCGGTCAGGCGCTTGTGCAGCACCTGGCCGACGAGATCCCGACCATCCTGGCGCTCGCCGAGCATCGCGAGAAGATGGATATCTCGAAGGTGATTGAGGACGAGGCGAAGCATAGTATGAGTAAGTTGGGCTTCAAGACGACCGTGCCGTATTTGATCACGGCGTTGGATGTCACGTTTGAGGAGGGCTTGCATAGGGATTTCCCGCCGGCGCCCGGGCTGGTGAAGGCGGTTGCGCGGGCGTTGGCGCCGAGGTTTAATAAGGGCTATTGGAGGTTTGCGCCGTGCGCGAAGAATGGGTTGCCGAAGGATATGTTGGCGGCGCCGGAGAAGTAAGGGTTGGTTGTTTGGATGTGAAGGTGGATGTTTAATGTTTTTCATTTTGGGACTCTCGTTGAGTAGTGTAATTAATTAATGGATTGTTATAATTATATGATTGGAATTAATTGTTAGGGTCCTCGAATAGTAGTGCTACATACTAACTTGGTCCCTGGCTAACTACAGTTTAAGTTACCTGGGACATGATACGAAACCCAGGCTTGGGATTTATACATGGCCGAAGAGTGGAAACAGGAGGAGAGAGACAACCGGGATTATATTGGAACGGGTGTTTTCTTTATCTTTCTTTATTCCTTAAAGATATAGGGGGCTGGCGCGAGGATAGAGGGTGTTAAGTACCGTCACAGCACCCGGGCTACGTATACATACAATACAGAGTCAAGAAAACTCGCTAGGTCATTAACCCGAGTGACAACCCATGACGAACCCCACTTCTGCCACTTCCTCATCACAGAACATCACTCGAGAGCCAAGATAGGGTAAAAAGATGGAAATGCCCAGCCCTAAATACATGTAGTTACCTACTTGTACCTGTCGGAGAAAACACTATCGTCGGGTCTTGGCACTGTCTTTAGCTGCATAGACCCGTCATCTTTCGCTCACTCTAACAATTCTTCTTCTTTTCAACAAGGAGGCTAAGGGAGCCAGGTGGAAACCCAAGAGGAGTTTTCTCTTGTACTGCTGGCGGGTCCTGTAGGCCTCCTCTGCCCTCTACCCCATCCACCCACCCACGTAGTCCGTCTGCCCCCAGTCCCTTTCCCCGTGCCCCTCCCTCCTTCCTGCTCTCTCTTTGCCTGTTCTCTCTCCTGCGTGGAGAGGGTGAGGTATCGAGGGAGGCCTCTGTCAACCTCTGGGCGCTGTCGAGGGGTTGAAAGAAGTCCTGCCCATTCCCCCTCATCCAAGCTCCCCGTTACCATATTCCTTCCCCGTCCCCGCGTTCTCCCGGTAGGGGGGCCTCTGTCAACCTCTGGGCGTAGTCCGAGGGGTCGAAAGAGGTCTTTCCCGCCCCTTTGTCCCTTCGTCCCTCCCCAGGCCTTACTAGGCCCCATGAATTATTAGGAGGGTCTAACATTCGATACTAACCTTTTTTTTTTTTTTTTTTGGAGGGGGGGGGGGTTGTCTTTTTGTAAATAGCTGTATGTGTTGGTGTGTTCTTGTAGGTTTGTATCTAGATACATGTATATACATATCGTCCATCCCGTTATAGCTATAGGTTTCTGGATGGGTAAGGGTTCTAGATAGATTCGTGTACATACAATCATTTCTCGCGAAGATTTAAAGTTTGCCACATGTGTAACATATAAACTATTATATGCAGGTACGCGTACTATTGTCACACGCCACCGCCTTACTCTAATATTGTCTATGTACCGGCTATCATTTACCGGCCGGATCTGTGCCACAAGCTCCTTACTAATTAAGCACCGGTAAGTGCACTTATGAAACATGGGCGATTCGTGATTGATTGAATGAATAGTTTAGTATACTATTCATACGAGTATCCTTTTTTTGCGGCTCTAGTATGAAGTAGCTTCTAAATCTACAATATGAACCAATGATAGAAATTCCTCTTTTTTTTGATATCTCTAATGCGCAGTACCGCGGAACCGAAAAGAAAAAAAATATAATAAAAAAAACACCTGTGTACGCAGTGACCAGCTAGAATTTCCAGCTTATCCACAAAAAGGAAACCCAGAAAGAAAAAAAAAGAAATGCCATGTAACTAATGTGATTACCTACGTTCTCTAAAACAAGAAAGCACCCCCACTAAGTACCGGCACCTGCAAGAGATTCATTTCTCCCAGATACGGTACTACCAACTTATGGCCCAGGGGCACCGGACCTACTGCGAGAAGACGCGGAGCTTGAAGACTCACTTCCGCTTCCACCCGGACCGCCACCAGACTTGCTGCGAGATGAGGACGAGCTCGTAGCGTCAGATCCGTCCGCATCTGCGCCTGCAGAGCTGCTACTGCTGCTGCTGCTACCCGCTCCAGGCCCGCCAGGCCCACCAGCGCTGGCACCTGATGAGGCTCCAGATCTCGATGAGGCACCAGGGCCGCCTGCTCCCGCTTCAGCACCGGAGCTGCTTGAGGCTCCAGGTCCACCAGGTCCGCCAGCGCTGGCACCTGATGAAGCTCCAGATCTCGATGAGGCACCAGGGCCGCCTGCTCCCGCTTCAGCACCGGAGCTGCTTGAGGCTCCGGTGCCGTCAGCTCCTGCCTTGCTGCTGGATGAAGACTGGGATGAAGCGCCAGCACCTGCGCCGGGTGGCTTGCCACTACCGCCAGAAGAGTAGCTGCTGGAGTAGGAGGAGGATGAGGCGGATGAGGATGACGAAGAAGACGATGAGGATGAGTAAGAGGTTCCTGTGGTACCTGAACCGGGTCCACCAGCGCCTGCAGAAGCTTCTGATGAAGCACCGGAGGCTGCGCCTCCAGGACCTCCAGGACCTCCCTTGGGAGGGCGTCCCGCGGAGGAAGACGCATCAGCAGAGGAAGAAGCTCCACTTGAGGCACCTGGGCCTCCCCTAGGGGGACCACCTGAAGGAGGGCCACCTACAGCACCTGAGGAGGCAGAAGCGCCTGAAGAAGCGGAGGCATCTGAAGAGTCATCCGCAGAGGCACCGGGAGGACCCCCCTTAGGGCCCTTAGGAGGACCACCGGCAGAGGCGGAAGAATCTGCAGAAGCGGAGGCTCCGCTAGAGGCCCCTGAAGGTGGACCGCCTGATGGGGGTCCATCTGCTGCACCCGAAGAGGCGGAGGCATCTGAAGAGGCCGAGGCACCGGCGGAAGCCCCAGAACCTCCTGGAGGACCACCACCTGGAGGACCACCTGCGGAAGCACCGGCTGAGGCACCGGCAGAAGTTCCAGAAGAGCTTCCTGGGGGGCCACCGCCTGGAGGACCACCCGCAGAGGAGGAAGCATCGGCAGAAGCGGAAGCTCCGCTAGAGGCACCTGGGCCACCCGCTGGGGGGCCACCCGCGGCACCTGAAGAAGCGGAGGCACCTGCAGAAGCCCTAGAAGAGCCACCTGGGGGGCTACCACCTGGAGGACCACCTGCAGAAGCACCGGCTGAGGCGTCGGCAGAGGCACTGGCAGAGGCGTCGGCAGAGGCACCAGGAGGAGGACCGCCGGGACCGCCGGGACCTCCAGGAACACCTGAAGAGGCACCTGAAGAAGCTTTCGAAGATGCAGAGGCATCTGAAGAACTCGAGCTATCTGACTGAGAGGACGCACTTGATGAGGACGATGCACCGCTAGAGGCTCCCGAAGAAGCTCCCGAAGAAGCTCCCGAAGAGGCATCTCCAGAATCCTCTCCTTCTCCTCCTTGCTCAATAGCCCTCAGTCTAAACTCCTCAAAGCTCTTTTCCTCAGTAGGATTGATGGCAAAGACCCTATTTCACAACATATTAGTATCAAATTGCCATAAGAAAAATATGGGGAGCTTATGCATACATTCCCCTACCGCAGTGTTTCTTGTGCGCACAGTGGAAGAAATGTGGCTTCTCATCTGACACAACATGCTTAAACTTCGGCCCTGGATCCGCCCTATCGGGATTCGCCAAAATTGAGGAATCAACACCACCATCAAGCCTCTTACAAGGCGATCCAAATGTAGACTCAGTAAGTGTATGAGTTCCTGCCCTAAATTCAAACACAATCACATCTCCAACGTCTGCCATGACGACTTGGGGGTCGTAGAAAAGGCCTCTGGCGCCGACATGGACTCTGTGGGTTCTCCCACGACCACTTGGGGGGCCACCTGATCCTCCGGATCCTCCGGACGAGGAAGAGGCGGAAGAAGAAGCAGATGAGGATGCTTCGCTGTTAACATAGTTAGTAAATGTGATAATTGTTTTATAGGAGCAATAAAACGCACCTATCGACAGCAATAGGCAAAGCAGCAGCTGATACTACCGCTAGCATAAAGCATGTAAATTTCATAATTCTCGTCATCGCCGCAAAATAGTGTAAAGATATATATATATATCAAATAAATGAATGAATGAACGTAGATGATAAAGAAAGTCGTTTTAGAGAGAATCCGGCTCTTGATTAATTTGCAGCGCAGCTGCTTTTTTTTTAAAGGTACTAAAAGAGTGTAGAGAACTGAAAAGTTGGCGGGAACAGATCAAGCTGCGGGAGAAAAGAGTATTTATTAACCACATTTTCGAAAGGATATCACTTGGTGGTACATGTAGTTCCAGTGAGGCTTTGGGGACCGCAGACCGGGTCCGGAGTCGGAGGCTAAAAGCGAAGCCTTGGCACCATAGCTAGCCACTTTTGGTCCCGGTGGCCTCCCTCCTACCCACAGAAACTCGACATCCTTAGAAGGCGTTTGCTTTCGGTCTACACAAATTACTACTTCTTACCTTGTGTCTAATGCCAAGATCCGAAATAGGCGGCACAGGACCCCGGAGTCTTTGTTCTACTGATTGCCCAGCGACAGGAAGAATGCGATTTCAGTTCATGTTTCCTCATTATAAGATAGTCCCGGTACGGGGTTCATACGTACTTGTAGTTATAAGTGACAAGATCTCCATTCCATCTCATTGCATTGCTCCGTTATTGAAATATGGTTAGGCGTGCTGATGAATCTCGGTATTCCGTCATGCCCACAGCCGTGCCACTTCTCGAAACGAAGATATTCCCCGGTGACTTAACCGAAACCATAGGTGCCGTACAATATATCTAAGTAACAAGACGCTCGAAGTGATTGATTAACAAGCAATCTTAAGGGATCACTGCCTCGTCCGCCCCCGGCATCTGGCCACCTACTAAGGCACTCTCCTGTAATCTTTCTGAATTCCAGGGTTCTGTATGTATCCAATATCAGCGTATTCGCATAAATATCTGATACTGATGTACTAGATCATCTGTAAGAGCTATTGCGTACCCAATGTACCGAGACCTGGGTCCCATATCCCAATACAGGATAAATATTATACTAACCTATCGATATCTATTGTTGGCAAGGTTTTTATTTGCGTTATTAGCGTTGAATCTATTCGGTGGTTGTTGGCACTAATAAAACTTCCAATATCCGCCCTCTTTCTTTTTTGATTTTTGTATGTTTGATAAGCCAAATCTTGTAGATTCCTGAAGTATCACTGGTATGTGTTGCCAGAATACCGAGAGTGTCGGTGGTAGCCAGGGAGATGTATACTGGCGATTGGGGGCCGCATTTCGTACTACTCCCTATCCCTTCGTCTGTCAGTTAAATGCTGCCACCCAAAGAAAAAGCAAATCTGGTGTGGCTTTACTAACAGATCTCGTTATCTCTCTTATCAAATAACAGATCTCCCATACAAATTTATTTCCTCTATTATAGGGTGGCAGTATTGACAGACGAAGGGATAGGCCTCTCTGGTAGAATCATCCGTAGTTATAGCTCTACGGGTCCCCCCTAGTCTTGATAACTCCTGTTCATTGGCGGTAGTAATTTGGCCGGTGATGGTGATTTAGGGCTCATTCAAAGCCCTGGCGGAATAGAGGACTAGATGTTATACGATGGAGCTGATGCTCTTGTTCCCCACTCAGCGGGCGCCATACGCATCGAGTGTTGGGTGTCACACCGAATGTAGCATTCAGTTCAAACACAAATATTCCTTGGGCGTAGATTTGATGGCCAATCTTTCCGTGTAGAGTAGGGATCCGAACTCACTGCGCAGGGAACGACAGTGGTAGGTTTCTGTGAGATGACACCTCCGAAATGCACGTGGAATATGCAAGTTTACCGTTATGTGTTCTGGTAATCTCACTAGCCGATAGCTGCGAGTCATCGCTTAGGGCTTAAGCTTATTAAAAAGCTTAGCATAGTAATTTTTTAATAGTAACCTGACATAAAACTCAATAACTGACTCGTCACCTGGAGGGGAACAACTCCCATGAGATTCATAGGAGTCCGCTTTAAAGACCTTACTGGCTAAGTACCCAAACGGACAAAAAAGCAAAGACAAGTGGGCTTTCCTGTCACGCAATCCTTCAAAGACTGCTCTGTTACCAATGGGGTGCCCTGGACAAAAAATGATCATGAAAGGAGGGGGATTCGAACCCCCGCGGGCTAGGCCCATGAGAAACCTCGCTGTTTTAGAAGCAAGAAAGCAGTAATCGCTTGAGTCACACACCTTAACCACTCGGTCATCCTTCCTTGACGCTAAGCCGTGTTGTAGAAATTTTTCTGACTTGGCATTGGTAGAGGCTTGTTCTCTCGTTGTCATGGTCTAAAATCGTTAGGTACTCTTGGGTTAGTAATGAAAACGAGTGATTCGGCGTGGATCGAAAACTTTATTTAAACTTCGAAGTGTATCATAAACCTATCGCACAATGACTCAATTGAGACTAGTATGGAAAAGATCTGTCCTTAACCTATCGCACTAGCGTTTATGATATGGCTATGGACTCTTCCTTTCCTTGCGCTCTCCTCTCTCCTCGAGATCAACCAAAAAACAGCACTACAAGCTTCATAATCTGGATTCTGGACCGGAGTTATCTTCAGCCGGCGGAAAAGCTACTTATCTCTACAGCGTCCCGAACTACTTCCTCGTTATTCATTATTACCTATGAGGATAGCAGCCCCGAAATACAGGAAATCTACTGTGGCTGCAATCCCGATAGGCAGAGGGGTAAGAGTGGTCATATTGTTCACATATGTGGCTGGCGAGCTAAGAAGCGTCAGCATCAGCACAAACAGCATGTTCAGGGTCCTTCTCCCACCTTGTTAGTTGTACAGGGAACGAATGCGTGACATCGTGGGGGGTCATGGCGTGACCACACCTCAAAATCTCCCCACGCTAAAGCAACCAGCAAAATCTGCATACTTTAGATCGGTGGAACACCATCATAGTGCTTAATTGGAAAGACAGATTTGATGGTTAACCGCGTGTTTATCGGAGTTTAATATCCCTCCAATTACGTGGGTCTGCACTTTCTTTCTTCCTTCCCTCCGGTCCCTCAGCTCCGGTTCCTTAATGAGGTGAGACTTGGAAGTTGGGAATAAAATATTAAAAACTACCGAGTCGATATGCATAACACCATTTGACATTTCCAGAAAAGATAGGCACATACCGGATGCTGCAAAATTAATGGACGCCTATTGTACTAGTATAATTAAGCTTTCCCTAACTGGACGTTCCCGGTTTCTACACGTCAGTGATGTTATCCGGGAGAAACGAAGGCCTAGGAACGAAGAATAGAAAAAGGAAAATTTACCGGCAAAGATCAAGGACCAATTGAATCTTTTTAGCCTGGCAGGTGAATCTTGATTTCCATCTAGACTGATCATCATGCTCGGCCGATGAAACTGAAGAAACCTGGTAGAGCATACATACTTTGAGCGTTAAGATCTTGGCTGATGCTTTTTATCTGACTTCGTGCAGCTTTCCCAATGGCCATCTACACCCCCCCCCCAAAACACGCGCGTGGGGGTTATATGACGGCTCTCTGTGATGTTAGCTTGTAACGTGGGCTGCCAATTATCGTGAATAGAGGTTGATATACACCTTCCCTCGCATCGCGTTTACAGTGGAAATCAATAGTCGAGGGGACCCGATACAGATGAAGAGTTAACTCTTCTTCCGATATCGAAAAACAGCTAGAGTAGCTTCACATTCCGATAGGTTCCTATCACACCTTTAAATATCGTACTACTAATCACTCAAAGATCGAGATAATAGCCATAGTTATAGGCGATTCGTGACTTATCACAATCTCGATGTCTTTGTTGAGAACGGTTGTGAATATTTGTCTTTTGACTTGGCGAGGATATCCTCAAAGAGAAAAACTTGCGGTGCCGTGATTCGTGCGGTTGACGCGCGTGTCACATCAGGGCTAGGGATCTACAAGCTGAGATTACATATGTGCACTGATATACTCCAGTCACCGTTCCGAGGTGTCTCATATATGCATATAAATCAGAGGTTATGGAGCGTATCACCAGGCCAGTGTTGCAGTATGCGAGCAGTATACAGTCAGTCTATATGTGAAAGATCTGGCGATAATCTCCATGTGATAGTGTTAGGTCAGTATTTTTGGAAAGACTTCAATTATAGGGATTTTTAATGAGATCTTAGGTACGATGAAACCGGCAGCTTAATGAGTGTATTGCACACTGTGAGTATTTGAGAGATTTGATCGGAGTGGCGATCTACTAAACTATAGACCGGATTATAGCTATTGGCCGAACTGGTATATTCAGAGCATGAGCTCCTCCAACCCAGCTATCTGCAACCTTTTAATGAATCAACATGATAAAAAGCCTGATTACTGATATAATTAGAGTAGGTACATCGGCTATACCTTCGGAGTAGAAGCTCAATTGATGAACTTCAAACTGGAGACGAGGTAGTCTGAAAGACAATTTGGAACCAAAGATTTAACCACATATTTTGGACATACATACATACATAAATCTCCAGCCACCCCTCATTTCTGCTACCAGGGTCTGCGTGCATGTGTTGATCAATTACGCACATGTATGTACAAGTACGTACATGTGTGTAAAGTACCTGCCACAGGTATATGACAGCGTGTTATATACTCTATATGTGAAAATGAGACATGCATCTATCTACTTACACTACGTAGTAGACCATTGAAGTTTCTACTCTCTGATTCGACACGAACAAATCTGGAACTTTAGATGAATCTCAAGGTTTCTAGTACTGTGGAACACGTTTAGGGATCAATCGGGGAAATTTAAAGCATCAGGTGAGCTAGAGTACCTAGCTCCGTGAGGATTTAAGAAGTTTTCAATGGCACTAATTACCCAATGCAGAAAGCCCAACTATAAGACTACTTATATGTAGGTTGACAGGTTGCTCTACTAAATGGCTGAAAGCAATTAATGGCTTCCACTTTGAATCCGTATACTCCATGCATAGACATACTCAGCTGGTGCTACGGACATGCCCAATTGCACTGTTGCGCATGACCTTTAAAAAAAAGGCGTCCTTCACCAGGCCGGACACGGGAGTTACATGCTCGATCACTCGGTTATGTACCGGTTACCTGCATCATCAAAGAACATTCAGCCTGTCTTTGTTAGTTCCCGGAGGTCACAGACTACTCTAGCTTGAGAAACGTCTTTCAAGACCACAGTGTGAACCGTGTATTGCGCACTGACATTCAGGGATTATGATACCTGCTAGCTTGTTTTTAATTCCTAGCGGTAGTTATCACGACTTGAGTAACCATAAAAATCAACCAATTAACAATTACCACCAACCCGATCTCAGCCCTGTTACTCTGTCCCCCAATTCAATTGAGTTCTCAGTAGACCGTATGCCCACCTGATGGGTCACAAAGTTAGTCTCAGCCTCAATTACCCAATCCCATTCTTACTTATCGAATATAAAAGCTAACTCACCATCAACGACGTAATCTGCACCCGTCACATATGAACTAGCCCCGCTGGCCAGAAACACATAGACACCCTTCAGTTCCCACACCTTGCAGAGCCTCCCCGCAGGGCAGTCGTTCATCCATGCCTTTATTACCTCCGGGTTCTTATTTACCATTTCTGTGGTCCTGTTTTCATGGATTTAGAAATAAAAACCTCGCATGGAGATACTGGATTGATAATTTAGGCGAGTAAAAAGCAGAGTACTTACATCTCGGTGTCGATGTAGCCGGGACTCACGGCGTTGACTTGGATATTCCATTGTGCGAACTCGGCGGCGAGTGCGCGGGTTAAGTGACAGACGGCCCCTTTGGTTGCGCAGTACTATTACATTACCGTCAATACTTTATTCAATCTAGAAACTTCCTTCGATACTCTACAGTATCCAGGAGGGGTTCCGCGTACAATTGATTCGTACTGTGGGCGAAGGACCATGTGACCACTATTTTTTTTATATATCACGTGATTAACTCAGTTTAAACTTGGTGGATAGGATTAAACTTAGGACCAGACCGGAATTTGGAAGCGAAAAGGGACGATGATTGGGAGAATACTTTATTGAGGCCGTCATGATGATCTTCCCACCCCCGTTGTCCTTGAAAATTCTGTAAGGGTCACATAAAACGTTAAACACCTCAGTCAATAAACAGCAGTAGTAACAACTGCCGAGCACCCCCTACTGTCGCTCACTGGTAGTGGCCACTGCAAGTTCTCACCCCAAAGTAGCTACTAGAACAGAAGAGGACATCACACATACCTAGCAGCCGCTTGCGCTGTATACAAGGGCCCAAAATAATTGACGCCTGTAACAAATTGGGCCTCTTCGGGCTTCATATCCAACGCGGGGGTCTCCGTATAAACCCCCGCATTCGCAACCACTACATCTAGCCTGCCAAAGTCTGCAAACACCCTTCGCGTCACATCCTCAATCTCCTGCGCCTTGGACACGTCCGCTTGGTACACCCGTACCTCCGTGTGCGGGTACTTTGCGTGGATCTCGGCGGCACGTGTGGCGGCAAGGTCTGCTGTCGCCGCACAGGAGTGGATGATGGCGAGGCCGGCGGCCTGCGCCTCGGCGAAGCCAGTAGCGACAGCGAGACCAATGCCTCTGTATATGGGAATGCATTGGCATTATTCGGGAGAATTGTTTTTCCTGGTTTGGGACACTGTGGGTTTTGACACTTACCTATTACCTCCAGTCACTAGGCAGACCTTGCCCGCCAGAGAGAAGAGTTGAGACAATGGCGTCGTTTCGTTGGGGGCGTGGAGGAGACTCATTATTTTCCTTTCCGTTCCTACTTGGTTGGCTCTTTTGGTCTGGTTTGGTTGGTTGGGGTAAAACGCAGTATGTACTCTGCTGCAGTACGGTTATTTTTTTTTTTTTATATTTTGTTTCTTACCGTACCAAGACGTAGGGTACGATGACGATGAAACGAAATAGGAAAAAAAAAGGAGCAGATGAGGTTTTGAAAAGAGGGGTACAGACAAACACAATAGGTAGAGGGGAGCTCGGGAGGGGTTCCAGTAGAAAGTTTGAATTCGTCGATCTCAACGCTGGCGTTCTTTATTTTCTAAATGCAAAAGCTAGTAGAGCAGTGCACTGCACAGAAAGTCGAGACAAATTGATGGTCCCTTCTTTCACCGCTTCCAGCCAGCAAATCCCAATATATATGAGGGAGCTCAATGTGCAAAAAAAAAAAAAAAAAAAAAAAAAAAAGGAATACGATAGAGAGGGCTTGTTGCACGGTTGCGGGGCTCACCGCCCTGCATGAGGAGCTACCAACTACATATCTTACCACTTGCCAGAGCTATGACACTCAC